TTTTATATTTTGTAATTTTAGAAAACTAGTTTTAGGCACACAAAGTTGCAATAATGCACTTGCAATACTAGTACCTGATGGCGTGTAACGTTTATTTTTATCAAAACATATCTAAACGTGCTATTTTAAAGCGTTGATTATAAAATATCCTTGCGATTGATATTTTACTATTAACTTTGATTACTAAACTCTTTTATATTTCGGTAAATAATTGGAAAATATTACACTGCAGCTTTCAAAAAAATCCCGTATGGTGCGTACTTTATCTGTCTGACACTATACCGGGTGTTTCTCAAAAGTGGCTTACCCCCTATAACTTTTTTATTTTTTCAGATAAAAACAATAATTGGTAGGTTAGTTATGACATAAATCAGGATTGACTGACGGGTACTCATTTGTTTTCGGTTACTTCCTGTTTCACCGGAAATGACTACAACTTTTGATTTTTAAATGGCACACTCGGTGTTTTTTTACTTTATTTGATAGAAAATGACACTCTGAGTAGAATGTCATATCATATGCCAACTTTTGATATTTTTGCATATTATGGTTTATTTGAAAGTGTAACATGCAGTTCATAAAGACAATTTGACTCGAAATACTAAGTATGTGGTAACAAATTATTCTTAAAAAAATGCTTTTTCTAAATATGCTAATGAGCCACCATCGTTCCGTTTGAAAAAATTGAGATATGATTAAAAATGCGATTTGGGCATCCTTTAACCGGCCAAAACAAGGGGCTTCTTGGTTAAAAATAGTATTTTTGACACAGCCATGACACTCTAGTTTAGTAGTAAAATACGATTTTCTTTAAGCGAAAATGTTAAAAGTTGACATATGTAGATATGTCATTCTATTCAGAGTGACATTTTCTATCGATTAAGTGAAAACAATACAGAGGGTGCCATTTATAAATCAAAAATTGTACTAATTTCCGGTGAACCAGCAAGTGACCAGAAACAATTGAATACGCCAATCAATACTAATTTATGTCATCATACCAAATTTCGTTTTTTTTACTTTTGAAAAACACACGGTATATAAAAAGAATGGGATGATAAAACATACGTATATAGGGGTTATTAGATACATTTAAAATTCACATATCTGTGAAGAAATAAAAAAAACGAAATTAATCAAATATCGAAAATAAATAAATAAAGAAACAAAACTAATGCAAGGCAAAATTTGAACAGGTATTTATCATAATGAAAATAAGAAAGAGATACATTAATTATTATTAGACTCATTTTTCATTCTTCAAATAAATTCCACAATGCTTTTTTTATAAACGATCTTGAATTCTTGCTACACCCACTCATTCTAACTCTGTTTACACCTGTTATTAAGGACAAATAAATCGTAAAATTACGTCACGACAACAAATAAACATTTGAAGAATTTCGTAATGCTTGACATAAAAATAACAGAGATAGCAAGTGAAATACATAACCTTAGTGTCCTAGAAATTCAGTTAATGTTTTTTTATGGCCTATTTTTGATAGAGACTATATACAACCTTTGATGGAGAGACGTTTTTAAAAAATGAGTTGAATTGAAATTTTTGAAATACTGGCTGATATGGGGTTAAAGAGGTAAAAATGATTGCTGTGTTTCTATAAAAGGTAACCAAAACTGAAAGACAGAATTTGAACTTGATACGGATATAGGCGTGATAAAATTAATGAATGGTAATTTATTTCTTTTATATAACATACAACTACATATCTATTGTTTCTATTCAAGGTAACAAAGATGGATAAAGACAAAACAATGCATTAGATTTCGATAAAACAACGAAATTTGAATTCATCTAAATGAAGTCACGAAATCTCTGAACTAAATCCTTGTAACATACCGGAAGATTCTTTTAACATCTCTTTAGCTCCTCGGTCCAAAGCAAGTTTATTTGGAATCTAGCAACAAAGCATGATCTTATCAGTAGTAATTCCTTTAATGTTATTCGTTAATTTTTTTTCTTTGATCTGTACCCTAAACTTTTTATTTAATTTAAATTCTTTAACAATTTTTATTCTTTGACAAGTCGTTTAATTTATATCTTTATCTAACTTTGGTAACTTGGATGTGTTCAGATCTTTTGGGAAAGAAATTATGATCTACATAGATTATCCAATATTCTTGATACCAATTAAAATTTCAGTTACGTAATCGAAGGCGCGATTTTTAAATTCATTGTTGCCAACCATGGACATATTTGGCGCTGGGATGACTAACTGGTACTTAAATTTCACGCTGGGGATTCAGATGGTAGCTCTGCTCTAAAAAACGTCAAGTCACCACATTTATTTATTTACGTCCTGACATTGTCATTCGTTTTGACACTTTAGTTCTGGGTTACGAGTTTTTGGTTTAAATGAGTTGTGTTGTGATACTTTAAGCATAAAATTAAATGTTTACTAGCAGACCTTGCAGTCGAACATTGTTCTTTTTAGAACCTCTTTTAGCCCGAAGTATACAAAATAGCTTAATAGCCGTAAAGACTGGGTGTAGTAATGGCCCTGTATATCCCTTAAGTGCTGTTAAGAAGGTGAGTTTTGTTGATATAAATAATAACTGTTTATATATTTAGAATTATTTCTTTTTCCTAAAATATTTTGATTAAAAGAGAATATATAAAAGTGGGCAACGCTGTGCCGGCCAAGCTTAATCACGTAACTAAAAAAAAGTGTATTTGATATGAACTATAGATAGATCCGAAGGTTTTTATAAAGCCTATGATTTTCTGGCTTTTCTTCTCTTGCAAAATAGTTCAGTACGGGGTAATGTCATGTCATCTTTTTATCGTATTTAACCATAGTGGATAACGTGCAGTAAGGAATATCGTAAGGTCGTAAAATCGTACATCGTAGGGTTATGTTTCCACTGAAAATATTCTTAGCATTTTTTGTTGAAGTTTTATAAACCATTGTCGAGATTATTTTTCCAGTAGTATCGGTATGTCATGAGATTCAATATTGTCGACATCTAAAAAACTCTCTCTAGGGCCATTGTTTAATATTTTGTAGTACAAAGTATATGATGCATAAACATCCTATTAGGACAGTATAGTCTGACACTGGACTATACTGTCCCACTGTATTGTTAAAATGCAATAGTTTCTAACTACTAACTTTGTGGGGAATATGGGGAAACACCAGAACACCTCATCACTGAGTGCGCCGAGACGACGACCATTTGTGTCATGAACTTTGGTACGGCTGATGTCAAGGATGGAGAGCTGGCCTCTGTGGAGCCGTCTGAGATACTGGTTTTTGTTAAAGCCTTGAGACTGTATGATGAGTTATAACTCAAGAAAGGGGAACACACAATAGATCTGTAAGGTCGCGGTGACTAACTCCCCTCCTAAACAGTCTACATTCTTCTACTAACTTGTGTCACAACCCATATATAGATTCAGGGCTTTGACAAAAGCCAGTATCTGAAACAGTTTTACAAAGGTTAGTTCACCATTTCCTATATCAGTCGTACCAAAGTTCACGGTAGAATGGTTGTTCTCGGTGCATTCAGTGATGTGGTGTTCTGATGTTTCCCCATTTTCCATTAACAGAAGCATTCGCCGTTGTTTCTTAGCTTCAATCTACTGAGGTGTTGTAGGTACAATCGTTGAGGAGACTGTTAAAAACCCCGTGACAATCCAAAGATTGTTCTTTCTTAAATCAAAGAAAATCTTCCTTCCGTTGTAAGTTCTGAGAAATTTCTTCGACCGTCGAAATGTCTTAGACCGTTGGAGGATTCTCATTCAAGGTTACGGATGGAGTCTTCCAGATTCTTGAGTTCCGCTTTAAGTTGATTTCCACTTGGGAAGCAGCACGGTTCTGGTCCAGTTAGTGGAGTGTTCGTTGCTTTTCTAATTAGATCGCTAGCCAGAGTAGGAGGACTTTATTATCTTTGTCTAACAAAATAAACACTAAATCACCACAATACACCAAAACACTTTTACTTGTACACTGGACGCGCGTTTCGCTAACCATGTTAGCATTATCAGCAGATGATTATAAACTAAAGTACAATCTACAAATTGAGCGTTTATATACTCGCTCAGTGGGCACCGAGTGGGCGTGGCAAAATCTAGCCAACCGAGTTAGAGCTCACTGAGCGTAACAGTTAGATTTCCGCCACTAGAGTAGTAGGAACAAAGAACTTAAAGGAATTGGACCGTTGTCTCTGTTCATACTATCTTTACATTTATTAATTCTGATGCTTTCATATGCATCTAATTGCCTGTAATTTGAAACTTGTTTAATTAATTTTAAATTATTAAGATCTATACAATGTACTTTTTCAAAAATATGTTCGGCAACGCAAGATTTATCCGGTCTACCATATCTTATCTGAGCTAAATGTTCTTTAAATCTAGTTAATATTGATCTTCTAGTTTGCCCAACATATTTCTGATTACAATCTTTACAAGAAATTTCATAAATACCCGACCTTTCCAGTGGAGGTGTTTTATCCTTTAGATTACCTAATATTTGTTGTAATTTATTATTAGCACTATACACAAGTTTATAATTGGCATTCTTAAAAATTCCTTAGTATATAAACGCTCAACTTGTAGATTGTACTTTAGTTTATAATCATCTGCTGATGATGCTAACATGGTTAGCGAAACGCGCGTCCAATGTAAAAGTAAAAGTGTTTTGGTGTATTGTGGTGATTTAGTGTTTTTATTTTGCTGTGTAACACCAAAGGTTCCAACCCTCAACTGTAATCTTTGTCTAATTTGTTCAGCTTCTCTTAGCTAGGTAGATCTCCTGTTGTCACAAGCAAAAAATCCTAATTATATTCGTATTACCTGTAGGATGACCAGATAATTTTTGAATAAGCTGAGGAAAAACTAAACCTCTGACGATGACCGATTGATCATTATGCATCAAAGGATATTTGAATATCATTCTATATATCACGAGATTGTATTTTAATATAATTTTTCTCTAGATTAATTTCTATCTATATAAAAAATATGGAATTGAATCGTATATCACATCTTACTTAGCTGCTCCTCTTTATTTTTTAACCTTTTAAAAAGGATATTACAATCTAATTATGCAATAATGAAGTTTCCTTGTAATCGTCATGATGCATTACATAAATTTAACGTTCTCGAAGGCTAAGCGATAATACAGTTTGACACCGGTTACATTAAACTTTTGAGATGGGCTAATATGATCGACTCTTAAAATATTTAAAAGAACTATTCGGTATTGACGTCCCGTGAAAAGATCAAGGTTCTTGAAGAGTAACTGTTGAACTTTTCCTTATTATTCGCCTTCATTTCCCATGTCAATCTGGATAAACGAACGTTTAAATAATAAATGAAGTTCTAGGCTTTGTTCTTTCTCTATCGACAATTTTGTCTTTTACATCGTGCTGGTATTTTGGGTGTCCTTGGATAGAAATTGAATTACGCAGTATCGTGGAAACTGTATGCCAATCAGAAGCATATCGGTGACTGGCTGGGGAAGAAAACACTTTATTAAATATTTAGGTAGTTTTCCAAATATAGTTTCTTACCCTGAGCGATTCCATGAAGATGGTTAGCGGTAGAAGGAAAATGTAAAAGGAGGAGCAGAACGTAGCTATTGAAAATGATACGAAAATAAGTACGAGTAGCCAACCAATTTTTCTGAGGTAAGTCATTTTCAACTGGATTTTATAATGATTAAATTATAATATAAGAAATTATTCAGTTAGTTTTTGACTTTTAATCCTTACATTTTGTACATTAATTTTTGAGAACAAAAAACGTCAATGCATGGAGAAGTCACTGTCAGTTCATGTCAAACCATAGAATAAAAATGCGGGTATAGTACCGTATGATCGAAAAAAAAAACGTCCAGCTGACTTGGAAATGAACATCGATGTAATTTCACATATAAAATGACAGCAATCTTCATTTCATAGCCATTGCTGACACCGTTTTTTTTTCGATCATATTGTATAATCAAAGTATAATTATAAATGACCCCCTTCGTTGCCAAGTGGTGTAATACAGAATGCACAAAAACGAGTTAAAATTATAATATCATTTGTCAAAGGGTTTTCTATTCATTTGCAAAGTGGTGCAAGTCCTAGTTCAAATTTAAGTCACTGAGATATTTTGTATTCGATTATTATACATTAATTTTATGATGTCATCATCATCATTATCAGCTTATTCAACCATTACCAATTATGGTATAGTCTCCCTCACATATTTAGATACTCTCTTAGTAGTTGGGCTCATTGTTGTCTATTGTTGGCTACGCGGCCAAGTTATCCCTGCTGATTTCCTAATATCATGGTCCCATCTTAAGCGGGCTATACATTATCAAACAAATTGCGCAACGAAGCGATGCGCAACGTTGCTTTGCACAACTGATTTAGCGGTCCATACATTATCAAACAAGTTGCGCTACGAAGCGATGCGCAACGTTCCGTTGCACAACTGTATCACCCATGCACTTAATAAAATTTTAATCAAACTTTTTATTAAAAGTTGTGCATTGTAGCATTTCGCTTTAGGTTTGGTCTTCTTCTAGGTCTCTTAATTCCTCGTGAGTACCATGCTGTAATTTTTGAGGTTCACGTTTTGAGGTCTTGCCAGGTATCCTGCCCATTGCCATTTGAGGGATTTGATTCTGTGGATGGCATCTGTTACCTGGGTCTTTTGTCGTATCCACTCTATTCTTTTACGGTCTCTCTTGGTTATTCTCAGCATATTTCGTTCTATTGAGCGTTGTGCGAGCTGCAGTTTCCTTATGATGTCCGTTTTAAGTGTCCAGGTTGCGTAAAGCCATTCCCCCGTGCAGTACAACACAACATCGCGCTGTAATGCACTTGACAATGTCTTGAGATACGCATTTTTAAATAGGACATTCCCAAGTGCAATTCAACAGGCGCCGCGCAAAATTATATTCTAATGTTACATCAAATATGCTTAAACTTAATATGGTGTGTATTAAATCTGTATGCATTATCGGAGTAAACGACAACGTCGCAACGCACTCATTACTCTACTGTATTTTTTCTCGTAGGTCAACTTCCGTTTTTTTTTAATGATTTTCGTGTAACGGTTTGACAGTTTGATAGTTTTAAGTATTTTTATTTACTACCTAGTTGTTGATTAGAGTGTACGAATATACCAAACTGAGCATCTTATGGTAAGCGGATTCTCATCGTGCTTCTCAGGCAAACATTAGAGAATTTATGAAATAAAAACTTCTTTCGGTATGTCATAATATGGATTATTATTAATTGCGTTACATGCTCGATGATCTAATCTCTCAATCTGGCGAGTATCTAGAAGACGTGAATATACGTTTTTATAAAAATTATCAGTCTATCTTAAAACAGAAGACAACGCCAAAATTCATTAACTCTCTTCACCAGTCTTCACGTGAGTTACAGAAAACTTTTTTTTTTAAATATTAACAACATGCTTTTCATTTCAGGCCTTTACGATCGAGTAGAGGGCTATTTTATACAAGATACCTACATTTATATTATACTAGTATTTGATATTACATTTTGATCAAAAATATTATGTTTTAATACAAAATCAAACACGCCCCTCTGAATAACTTTAATGTTTTAATGTATCTCGAAAAATAAGGTCTAAAGTTACAAACCATTTGATAAGCGAGTAGCAAATAAAAAATATTAGCAATTTTCCTCGAAAAGGTAAAATAGGTATTTTCTTTATCCTAGACAAAACACAACCCCAATTTTTTAATTATAAAAATATAACGACCGCGTTGTACTGTACTTGGTTTTGTCTCAGCCTAGAGCATTTTTAATATGTCTTTCTCCATACCGGCACAACACCGGTCACTAGAACCAGGCGTTGTACTGCACGGGGGAATGGCTTTACGCGTCCAGGTTTCGCATGCATAGCTCATCACTGGTATTACACATTTGTTGAATGTTTTCTTTTTTAGATAAATAGATAGATAGTAAAATATATTTACCAGTAATACATAAAATAATGTTTTTTTTTAATAAATATTCACTTCTTACTGATGGAATCATATTTATTCAACTTATTGATGTGTAATAGTGGTATGAACCTATAAAAAATAGTCAAAATATGACTGTAGTATGACAAAAATAGTAAATTTGAGTTATATTATTATAAATAATTGAGGGAAGCCGGATGGCAACACATTTTTTTAGGAAAAATATTTTTAACCATGTAATACAGCGGACAAAATAAATATTGTTATTATTGAAATAATTTAATAATTGAAGTGTTTTTATTAGAAATTATAAAATATGTTCTATAGAAATTTTTAAATTTGGTTTCATCAAAATATAATTATTAAATAATAATTCTGCTAATAAAAAAAATGCTAAAAATCAATTAATGCTAAAACTAATAAAAATAGGAAAATTATATATAATTATAAAAATAGATAAACGAAATTGTTGATAATTATTCTGGTAAGGAAAATTTAATGTTTTTAGAAAATTTCGGTTTAAAAATCAAAATAAACCTCACATATTCGATTAAAAATGATATTAACTGCTAACATATTCGTAAACAGAAGACTGCTAAATAACATCTTTTATTGTTCATAAAATTTTTGAAAATGACTGTTGTGAGTCATTTTGTACGTCTTCTTGGAATATTTAAGATTTTATTTTAACTATTACAGAGTTCTATTACCTACATGTGGTCCATATCAGTTACATTGAGAAAAAATAGAGAAAATAAAATTATTACAGATGCGAAACAAAACAGACATACTAAAAACAAAATAAATAATAAGACAACAAACTAAATAAATATAAACATTTTATTACATTATATACTAAGTTTAATAAAGCCAACGGCACATTTATTTTGATTAATAAAGTAAATACATAAAGTTATTTAATCAGTACATGTTATATAAATTAACATTAATTTAAATAGAATAAATGAACACATTTGTCTTAGGTGTGTAGAAGTTAGAAAATACAAACACACACATTTTATACTGCACTGTCCACATTGGAATCTGACATATTATATACATTTTTTAAATTAGATTTTATGAAATAAAAACTTCTTTCGGTATGTCATAATATGGATTATTATTAATTGCGTTACATGCTCGATGATCTAATCTCTCAATCTGGCGAGTATCTAGAAGACGTGAATATACGTTTTTATAAAAATTATCAGTCTATCTTAAAACAGAAGACAACGCCAAAATTCATTAACTCTCTTCACCAGTCTTCACGTGAGTTACAGAAAACTTTTTTTTTTTTAAATATTAACTACATGCTTTTCATTTCAGGCCTTTACGATCGAGTAGGGGGCTATTTTATACAAGATACCTACATTTATATTATACTAGTATTTGATATTACATTTTGATCAAAAATATTATGTTTTAATACAAAATCAAACACGCCCCTCTGAATAACTTTAATGTTTTAATGTAACGGATCTCGAAAAATAAGGTCTAAAGTTACAAACCATTTGATAAGCGAGTAGCAAATCAAAAATATTAGCAATTTTCCTCGAAAAATAATAATCCCTCTTTTGATTAATATAAAATATAACGACCGCGTTGTACTGTACTTGGTTTTGTCTCAGCCTAGAGCATTTTTAATATGTTTTTCTCCATACCGGCACAACACCGGTCACTAGAACCAGGCATTGTACTGCGCGGGGGAATGGCTTTACGCGTCCAGGTTTCGCATGCATAGGTCATCACTGGTATTACACATTTGTTGAATGTCTTCTTTTTTAGATAAATAGATAGATAGTAGTAGAATATATTTACCAGTAATACATAAAATAATGTTTTTTTTTTAATAAATATTCACTTCTTACTGATGGAATCATATTTATTCAACTTATTGATGTGTAATAGTGGTATGAACCTATAAAAAATAGTCAAAATATGACTGTAGTATGACATAAATAGTAAATTTCAGTTATATTATTATAAATAATTGAGGGAAGCCGGATGGCAACACATTTTTTTAGGAAAAATATTTTTAACCATGTAATACAGCGGACAAAATAAACATTGTTATTATTGAAATAATTTAATAATTGAAGTGTTTTTATTAGAAATTATAAAATATGTTCTATAGAAATTTTTAAATTTGGTTTCATCAAAATATAATTATTAAATAATAATTCTGCTAATAAAAAAATGCTAAAAATCAATTAATGCTAAAACTAATAAAAATAGGAACATTATATATAATTACTATTTATGTTATATAAAAATAGATAAACGAAATTGTTGATAATTATTCTGGTAAGGAAAATTTAATGTCTTTAGAAAATTTCGGTTTAAAAATCAAAATAAACCTCACATATTCCATTAAAAATGATATTAACTGCTAACATATTCGTAAATAGAAGACTGCTAAATAACATCTTTTTATTGTTCATAAAATTTTTGAAAATGACTGTTGTGAGTCATTTTGTACGTCTTCTTGGAATATTTAAGATTTTATTTTAACTATTACAGAGTTCTATTACCTACATGTGGTCCATATCAGTTACATTGAGAAAAAATAGAGGAAATAAAATTATTACAGATGTGAAACAAAACAGACATACTAAAAACAAAATAAATAATAAGACAACAAACTAAATAAATATAAACATTTTATTACATTATATACTAAGTTTAATAAAGCCAACGGCACATTTATTTTTATTAATAAAGTAAATACATAAAGTTATTTAATCAGTACATGTTATATAAATTAACATTAATTTAAATAGAATAAATGAACACATTTGTCTTAGGTGTGTAGAAGTTAGAAAATACAAACATTTTATACTGCACTGTCCACATTGGAATTGGATATATTATATACATTTTTTAAATTAGATTTATGGTATAGGTCCTCCGGACATCATCTTCTCAGCGCAGTAATGTGGAAACTGTACGCCTTGTAGTAATAAATCTGCTAGTCCCTGTATAGAAATGCCAAAAATGTATTAATACACATTCTTATGTATGAAAATAGCATAAATATGTATTTAACAAACTCTACTTATCACCCCTATAACTTTTTTATTTTTTTGAAATAAAAAAACGAGATTTAGTATGTTAGTATACAGGGTGATTCTTAACCTATACGCATAAAGTTGGGAAATTATTGCTGATGACAAATAATGACTAATAATGAAAAATAAGTTAGTAAAATATTTTTATTTATGGAGATAACAAACTATTTGAAATAAAAACAAAAAACGTTAAACTGAATGTGAAACTGAAAACATTAAATTGAATGTGCATTTACTGATAAAGTTGATAAATTTTTGTAAAAAAAAACTCAAATTATTTGAGAATTTAAAAATGTTTTACTAACATTTTTTTTCATTATTAGTCATTATTTGTCATCAGCAATAATTTCCCAAGTTTATGCGTATATGTTAAGAATCACCCTGTATAACATAAATTAGGATTGATTGACGTATTTAATTATTTTTGGTCACTTCCTGTTTCACCGGAAATGACTACAAGTTTTGATTTTTAAATAGCACCCTCGGTATATTTCTACTTTATTCGAAAGAAAATGACACTCCGAATTAAATGACATGTCATATGTCAACTTTTGACATTTTCGCTTAAAAACAAATCGTATTTTAAATTTCAATCTAGAGTGTCATGGCTGTGTTAAAAACACTATTTTTTTTAATTAAGGAGCATTGGAAAAATAGTTTTGTTGTGAGGAGGATGCCGACTATATGTTCAGGAAACTTGAGGAAGAATACGACAGATGGGGACTCAATATCAACCTCACAAAAACCGAATACCTGGAAGTAGGAGAAGAACAAACTGAAGATCCTGAACTACACATACATGGTGAGCATAGGTGTAGCGAATATAAATATTTAGGAAGTATTATATCTGAAGAAGGGAACTCCAAGAAAGATATACATAGTAGAGTTCAACAAGGTAAGAAAGTAATCGGTCTTTTAAACCCTCTCCTGTGGTCAAATAAAACATCCATCCAAACAAAGATAAGGATTTACAAAGCAATCGTAGAGCCAATTTTAACATACGGTGCCGAATGCTGGCAATTTACAGCAAAAGAAAGAAGGATGGTCGAGTCAGTGGAGATGGACTTTCTCACATTAGAAATGAGGAGATCAGGCAAAGAACAAGGCGAATATATACCAGCACCGACAACATCGAATCCAGACAGCTACTATGGTATGGGCACGTAAAAAGAATGGGAGGGGAAAGATGGCCAAAAAGGACAATGGAGTATCGTCCCCAAAGCAGAAGGAAAAGAGGAAGACCTACAACTACGTGGTTAGATGGAGTAGACCAGAGAGACAGAGCTATTAACCAGGAAGAATGGCAAAATCGAGCAATATGGAGGTCGAAATGCGGGATGCGGCAGAAGCTCTAGGACCCCCGCTTTATATCTATATGGTCTAATGTTTTTCGTGTCTTGTCCTGGCCGGTTAAAAGATGCCCAAATCGTATTTTTAATCATATCTTAATTTTCTCAAACAGAACAAGGGTGGCTCATTAGCATATTTGGAAAAAGCATTTTTTACGAATAATTTGGTACCACACACTTGGTATTTCGAGTCAAATTGTCGTTATGAACTGCATGTTACAATTTCAAATAAACCATGCGAAATGTCAAAAGTTGATATATGATATTATGTCATTCTATTCAGAGTGTCATTTTCTATCGAATGAAGTAAAAATATACCGATGGTGCCATTCAAAAATCAAAAGTTGTAGTCATTTCCGGTGAAAGAGGAAGTGACCAAAACAATTGAATACGTCAGTTAGTCCTAATTTGAGTCATATACTAACATACCAAATCTCGTTTTTGTATTTGAAAAAATAAAAAGTTATAGGGGTGAGCAACTTTTGAGATGCACCCGGTATACAGTGTTAGTCTTAAATAAGTGCAAATATTTTTAGGGGTAGGATATTTCGATCCCAGAAACACGTCTATGATGTTTTTTGCAAAAAAAAATTGAAAATTTCGAATTTTGTGAAAACATTTTTGAAATTTTTTAATTTTTACTTAAAAAACATAATATCTTCATAATACTTAACAAGATAGATAGTAGATTAAATTTACAACAAAGAAAACCCAGAAAAGATGCACTGGATCTCAAAATTTAAGCGAAAAATAAGTATTTTTTTAATTTTCAAAGTTTACATTTTGTGGTTTCAACATTATGAATTTTTCTAAAATCGTTCGATTATGAAATAATTTCATGAGGTTACATGATTTTTAATATATAAATGAAAAAATACCATGAAAAAAAAATGATATTGGGTTGTATATTATACCTGATTGTAAAAAAATTCTAATCTTATCGGGCACAAGTTTTTTTTTTAAAAGTAGATACTGAAGTAAAACTTATATTTTAATACGTGTCTGTATGCACCGTTTCTTACAATTTAATTTATAAATTAAAGTAAATTTTAATCTTACCTGAAGAGGTGGTATACAAACTGAAAGACAGTGGAACAGGATATAGAAACCAGCACAGAAGGCAGCAACAAAGAAGGACAGGAATATTAAGATTATTAACCAAATTATTGAATACACTATGTTACCCATCTGAAAAGAAAATATTATTTTAGTAAAATATCATATCACAGCTAAATAATATACTCATTATTCATATCATTATATATTTTAAACAATATTTGTAAGCTATATTATTTATTATTGTTTATATTTAGATCTTAGGGAAAATTGTTTATGTTACAAGCCCATTAAGTAATTAATATTGATTAGTAACATGCTGCTGGAATCTTTTAGAGATAATGATTCAGTGTTACTTTCCACATTTACCAGTTAAGAATTCAATGCTTTTATTTATAAACTATTGAAAATTGTTAACATAACAGAACATAACTAATAAATATGAACATAAGTATATTTTTTATAGCCGTAAACAAATAAAACAGTACAAAGGAAAATTAATAATAAAAATTTGTATATTCGTGGTTTCAGTAATTTTATCGTTTTAACAGTTTTTTACCACATTATAATGTTTACTATTCAAAGTGAATGATTACAAGTTAAAAAGCATCACGAAATTGTAAAAATATGTAGCTCTTAATGAAATAAGTATTTTAGTTATTCATATAAATTTAAAGAATTTCTTTAATTTTAAATCATTGGCTCTGCTAGTAAAAGTCTCGTATATAAAATTTGAGACGCCCGGTATAAATTGATAGATTTTTTTATTATGATTGATTTTTAATTCTTATTGTTTTCTCTACGATTTTTATAAGGTATAGTTTAAGAAGAAATTTGGGTCAACTTTCGTTTAGCTGAAATCAGTTATAAGAAAAAAAAAATTTGTCTTTAAAAAGCTACTGTGAACCACGGAAAACACGAATTTTCCTGCGGAAATGCGTAATTTCCAAATTTTGCATTTTAGAATAACTGATATCTGCTATAAAAAATACATTTTGCGTTCTATTTTTAATATTTTTCTGAACATATAAACACAAAAATTTTCCTGCGAAAATAAGCTGTTTTCATTTTCTAAGGAAATTTATTAGACTTTAGAATAGCTGAAATCAGTTATATAAAAAATAAATATATTTTTGCCTTTTAGAAGCGTTTACAAACTCAGAAAAATAAAAAATTTCCTGCGGTAATGCTTGATTTTCATTTCCCATTTGTTCCTTATTATATTATCGGGTCTTGTAAAGTATAAGTACTCACGAATTTTTGCAGAAAGTCCTATGCTTATAGAACAGTTTAAAAGAAAAAAAATCCTTGGATGAAGCACTTTTGAACCAAAAAAAAATCATTTGAAAGTGTCTAAAATGCTAACCAATCTAATAATATTTTTACAAAATCACAGTTAATTATTAAAATATAAAAACCACAGCTTAACACCCTCCACAAAGAAAAGCTACCAAAGGCAACCCAAATTCTAACCAATCTAATAATATTTTTGCAAAATCACAGTTAATTATTAAAATATAAAAGAAAACTGCATGATCGAATGATTTTTTGTTTTGAATCGGCCCTATTTACGTAAATCTTTAATAAAAAGTTTACAAGAACCTATATTATCTATTCTACAAGAATTGTTATTCCTCCAAAAGATGTTTTACCCCACCCAGCACCCCTATTCGCTCTCGCCCGGGTCCCGTAAACTTCTAAACTAACTGAAAAATGTATGAAAAACAAAGTGCACAAAATGACATTGACACATTTCCGCAGGTATTTTTTTGTATTTCTTTGCTCGTAAAGGCTCGTATAAAACAAATATAAGTCCATTTTTCAAGTAACTGATTTCGGCTATTCTAAAGTCAAGGCATTTTTTTATGTAAAATAAAAATAAAAAATTTCCGCAGACACTTTTTTGTGTTTTTATGTTTAGAAAAATGTCTAAAACGCACCCCGAAGACTAGTTTTGATGTAACAGATTTCGGTTATACTAAAGTTCGAAAAATGAAAATGACGCATTTCCGCAGGAAAATTTCGTATATTTGTCCTCCTAACGCCTTCTAGAACGCATATACAGGGTTGTTCACCACATACGACACGGAATATTGTAGCTAAACGATTAGATTTTTACAAATTGTAAGTTTTAGATTCGTTAAAGGACTATTAGAGCTACAATTTAAAAATATTTTTACAAGATACAGAGTGTCCCAAATAAATAAAAAATATCAAAGTTGTATTTTTTTAAATGGAATACCCTGTATATTATTACATTTTTAGTTTCTACGATTAAAATAAAGGTAAATTTGATTAAGGTTTATTACACTTAAACCTTACCGATTTTGAAATATTTTCAATTTTGCGAAATTGCAGTATAAATTTTAAGGCTTCATTTCTCCGAGGATATCAAAGTTTTTAATACTAAATATTTACTGAAGTTTATTTATTGATCAGTTATTGTGTTGCAATAATAAATATTATACCACCTTATACAGAGTGTCTAAAAATTTATGTTAAATAATTACTAGCTTTAAATGGCAATAACTTATTTAATTTAAATATAACACCCTGTATATTTTATGAGAATCAGATGCAAAATTTAATTGTCTTTCAAATTGTATTATACCACTTCTTACCTATTCCTTCAAGTTTTCGTAGAAAATGCATTTTTTTATAATTTAGACCTCATTTATCAATATACCAATGGAATATTGACATTTTAGACGTTTTTAAAACAACAAATGTACAAAATGTACAGGCTAGTAATATTATTGTTTTTAGTAAAACGATAATTTTACTAGCCCATTTGTATACAAAAAGAAAGCTATTTAAATCTTTATAAAAGAGTATACCATTAATTAAATATACCACCAGTATTTCCGCCCAAATACTAATTAACTACATACTTAATTGTGTTCGTTAATAAATTATTCTAAATAAATGTGGATTTGAATCAGAAATCAATATAATTCTCTGTTGTTATAAATAAGCATTTGTCAAAAAAAAAATTAAATATCATTTTTAAGGTGTTACTTTTTACCACACTGTCTAATACACATACATAATTCAGTTTTTTAGTATTTGGAGCAATTATTATTAATCAACGCAAACAGTCAATTAATGTAGTTTGAATACTGGAATCATATTAACTGGTCCTCTTTAACAAATATTTAAACAGTTTTTTTTATTTTTTAATGAAATAAACGAACTATATCGACAATATTAGTATCTGTACTCTTTAAAAATTTGGTACATCTTTAAAAATAATCTAAAATGTCAGTATTCCATGGGTATGTTGATAAATGAGTTCGAAATTACAAGAAAATGCATTTTCTACGGAAACTTGAAGAGATAGGTAAAAAATGGTATAATACAATTTGATAGAAAATTAAATTGTGCATCTGATTCTCATAAAATATACAGGGTATTCCATTTAAATTAAACAAGTTATTGCCGTTTAAAGTTAGTAATTATTTAAAATAAATTTTTAGACACTCTGTATAAGGTAGTAAAGTTTTTATTATTGCACCACAATAACTGATCAATAAATAAACTTCAGTAAATATTTAGTATTAAAAACTTTGATACCCTCGGAGAAATGAAGCCTTAAAATTTATACGTATTAATATATTAAACGGTAAGGTTTAAGTGTAATAAACCTTAATCAAATTTACCTTTATTTTAATCGTAGAAACTAAAAATGTAATAATATACAGGGTGTTCCATTTAAAAAAATATAACTTTGATATTTTTTATTTATTTGGGACACTCTGTATCTTGTAAAAATATTTTTAAATTGTAGCTCTAATAATCCTTCAACGAACCCAAAACTTAAAATTTGTAAAAATCTAGTCGTTTAGCTACAATACTCCGTGTCGTATGTGGTGAACAACCCCGTATAAAGTAATTTTTTATATATCAGATTTCGGCTAAACGAAAGTTCACCCAAGAAATTTAACCGCTGCACAGTGATAGAAAATGCAATTCTAGCATTTCAAAATTAAATTTTATCATTGAAATATTTTACTTGAAAATAAACTGAAAACGTATTAGGGATATCTGCTTGATATCACAGTATCATTTGTAAACACGTTGCGCAAAATCATCAAGTTTAAATGATGCTAAAAATCAAGCGGGCTTGTGCCATATGAAGTGTCAACCATTCTCTGCGATTTGGAATGACATTTTTAAATTGTTATAAGTAAGTGTGTCAAGAAGTTGTGAATATTATAAAAATGGTACATATTTCTGGAGGTATGTAAGCTAGTTTTTTAGTATTTTCATGCTAGTTGTAACGCGCCTGATTTTTTGGTAGAGTTTCTTGTAAATCCAAACGGAAAAATATCTTACTGACATTATGGTAGAGCAGAACTTTGAAACGACTAAATATGACTTTTAAATACAATATTTATAATATTTTATGATATTTTCTCTTTTCGATAAGCTAAATTAGGCTTGCCACCTTTTGCCCCTTTTGATGCAATTTGAATTTATTTTAGGTAAAGTTACATCTATAAAGAGAGCGGACCTGTTTGATATAGCAAAGTCAATTTGTCCTTTGCGTCCAAGGCACACGGAATGTCAGAAATTGCTATTAGATTATATTTTATATGTTACTGGTAATGATGAACCAACAAATAGTACCCAGAAATTACTCACAAAAGTTATTGATAGCTTTACAAAAAATTTGACTGAGAAATGGAACAAAGCGAGAAGATTTGAAACAAAATTTAAAAAAAATAACGAGCAATGGCTTTCTAGCGTGATAGTCACTTCGTCTCCAGATAGTCATTCAGTCAGAAGTTCTTCTTCGAGAGTTGGCCGTCCGAAAATATCATTCGAAGAAGGAAGTGAAGTTACTAAGCGCAGAAGAGTTCAGGAAGAGGTCTCATTGAACACCGAGGATGAACTTTGTTTAGCCACAGAAATAAAACTGCGTAAGAATGGTAAACGGGATGTTGCGTCAATGTTGCATAAAATGAGATTTTCCCCCAAGACAGCAACTAGGTTAAAGAAATTGGAAACTAGGACCGAGGATCTACGGCAAGTATCATTTTCTCCAGAAGAGGCGCTTGCGTTATTTGTTGGCTTTAAGTTTACAAGATACCAATATATCGGTATAAGAAACCTCATCGTTAAAAAAGGACTAAAAAAATTATTCCCGACATACGACAAAATTATCGAAGCAAAAAAAAAATGTTACCCTTTTAATATTCTGGCTACAAATACGTCAATCGAAGTACCTTTACAAAATATTTTAAACCACACTGCGTCCCGAGTTTTAGAGATGCAAAAAGTTGTTTTACCTACTTTTACCAATAATATTAATGAGACTGTCACTAATTTAACGATGATTTATAAGTGGGGTTCAGATGGAAGTGGCAGTCAAAGTAACTATAAACAGGTATGCGAGGGAGATGACTCAAATATACTGACTACTTCCATAGTTCCACTGCAATTGCAGGTTAATCATGAAAAAAATAAAAAAATCTTATGGCAAAATCCTCGAACATCCTCTACACGGTTTTGTAGGCCTGTGCGAATCCAATTTATCAAAGAGACCAGCGAAGTAATAAAAGCCGAATTTGTCCATATTGAGAATCAAATCGATCAGCTGTCTACAATGAAAATTAATTTAAATAATAATGAGTATGTTATACACCATAAATTGTTACGAACTATGGTAGATGGCAAGGTTTGTAATTCGTTAATGTCAACATCCTCACAAAAATGTTATATTTGTCATGCCGGCCCTGCACAATTTAACAACCTTGATAATATTAAAACATTACCTATTAACTCTGATGCTCTAAACCTCGGCTTGTCTACCCTTCATGCCTATATTAGGTTTTTTGAGTGTTTGATTCATATTTCATATAGGCTTAACATAAAAGTTTGGCGGGTTCCGAAAAATCAAAAAGATCAGTTCGAAAACAGAAAAAAAGAAATCATTCGTAAATTTAGAGCAGAAACCGGACTAATAATAGATCAACCAAAGCCAGGTATCGGTAACACCAATGACGGGAATACCGCCAGAAGATTTTTTGCTGACCCTTTATTATCATCTAATATAACCGGAATAGATCAAAACCTTATTTATAGATGTAGTGTTTTACTAAAAACTTTAAACTGCAGCTACCCAATCAATTCAACCCGTTTTGGCCAATATGCCTTCGAAACAGCTGAGCTATATGTTAATCTTTATGCGTGGTACCCAATGCCCCCAACAGTACATAAGATTTTAATGCACAGTAGGGAAGTCATTGAACATTTTTTAATTCCGATAGGTCAATTAGGAGAGGATGCTCAAGAATCTCGCCATAAAGAGACAAAATATTACAGGGAGCATAACACTCGAAAAATATCTCGAAAGCACACCAACGAAGATTTATTTAATATCCTCTTAGTATCCTCCGATCCCCTTATTTCCAGTTTGAGAGTTCTACCACCTAGGCAAGACAGTATTTACTGTCGAGATGTTATTGATCTTCTACTTCCACCTGAACCTCTATAGTTAGGTACCCTTTTTTATAACTGTTTGTTTGTTTGTTCGTTTGAATCTCTTTCCATGAATAATGAAGAATGACTGCGAAAGTCAGAACACTATCGTTTTTGCACTGAGGCTTGAAAGTTTACGCCCTTCAAATATGTATATAAATAAATGTCTTTTTTAACTTTTTTTATACAAATTTTAACATTTTATATGTAGATCCGAGATCACTATGTTGACTAGATCAGCGAAATCATTTTTATTTTGTTAGCCCTGATGAAGGGCGAACACAGATCTCCTGAAACATTGGCGATCCAAAATTGATTATTATTGTCCTTATCCGACAATCCATAGCCTACTATCGTTATTTTTGGAAATAGTACAATTTATTATCTTGTGTAGTATATTGTATGAAAATAATTTTTGGAGAACGATTCATAAAAACTGATTTAGATAAACCTTGAACTCCAATTATTTTCATATTTGTTTCGTAATAATTAATGTTTTGTAATAATTCAAAACTGTTATCATTTTTATGTTTATAGTTTTATGATTTCTTTTATAGTTATACGATAAGATATCATACCTAACATAATATCTAGATTCTAGATACAAAGTATATCTTCATTAGGTAGACATTAGATTTACGTAAACTTCTTTTTTTTATTTTTCAAATATTAACCTCCAAACTTTCAATTTTGGTACGTTTACATACAAAATCTGTCAAAACTGGGGGTTTGGAAATTAATAAGTTTGGAAAATAGAAGAAAAAAAACGTTTATATTCTTAGGACGAATTGGTTCAACTTTCTATTATAATCTGTATCATATTTTTATAATATTGTAGTATAAAATAAACTATATTATAGCAGAATTATTTCCATGTTGATAGTTATGTATAAATAAATAATGTTATTTATCCGATTGTTAACCTATTAAGGATGTCTATCTTGTAAGGTCGTTACTGAGAAATTAATATCCAGAGGTATATATATACTCTTTTGAAAATATATAAAGTAATTCGCTAAGACTATCCTTATTACTATTAACACCAGGGCTTGTCTAAAATCTGGACCCCCCCCCCCTTAACTTTTGAATGGTTTGATATATTATTATGAAAATTTGAGAACTTGAGTAGAATAACGTGAGCAAAATTTTAGGCATAAAATGACAGAAATGTCAAATCGAGTGCCAAATCTTCAAAAATTTCTAATTTTAATTTAATTTTTTTAGTCTCTTACCTTAAAAATTCATAAAATTGTTATGTGTGACTACTAAAAATTCGTCAAGTTCAATTTTGAAAAAAATAGATTCGTGTAAAAATTGAAGAGATAGTATAGATCATTTAATTTTGACATAACGCCATTTTTTTTTGGATAATGACAGATGCTTCAAACTTTAGGGATGAAAAGAGAAGAAAAATATCTTTTAAATAAGGTATTACTCGACCCCCCTTTCTATTTAATTTTTGTTTCCAAAATGGCGCCCAACTGTCATTTTGACATTTATGTCTGTCATTTCATGCCTAAAATTTAGCCTATGTTGTCTTACTCAAGTCCTCAAATTTTCATTAAAATATACCAAATGATTCAAAAGTTAATAGGAGGGGGTTCCTGACTTTAGACACGCATTTATCTTCCCTAAGTTTTTCTTTTCATGGACAATGCTGTATAGTAAATTAGAAATGAATATTTTGAACTTGAATATACTTATTATTTAATTTAAACATTACCAGAATTGCCTTATTAATAAAAACATTACCAGAATTGCCTACATAATTTTGAACTGCTAGAATTGCATTTTCTATCACTGTGCGCTGTGTATATATGAAATTCGCTGTGATACAAATTTTGGAGATAAGATAAAAATTAACGTATAATCGGTGTATTAAATGATATTATATCGTTTATTTGATGATGTAACAGTTGTCCTAAAATACACATATAAAATGTATTTAAATATTACTACCAAACTAGTCATTCTAATCTTACAGACGATGACATCAGTTGCATTTAAATACCTTTCGAATGAGCGTTGCAATTTTATGCAATCATTTCTTGCTTGTTTATGAAAATTTTACGTAATTTTTATAAAAAGGTTGTAGTCAATTATCTAGTTTCCAAAACTATAAATCTGAAAAAGATTTATTAACAATTAAACGCCATTTAAAAATAGCACTTACGTTAGTGTAATCAATTTAATCTTATATAATTAGATAACAAGTAATATAATGAGTGTTAATAATATAGAGAGGTTTAAGAAATAATTTACAATAAATTAGACACATATAGTTAGAAAAAAATATATAAAATTATATTTTGAATTGGATGAAAAACTAAAATGTATGAACAAACTTTGTTGACAGAAAATTTTTTAATTAAATTTGAAAATAAATTTACTGAAGAAAAACTAATTAAATTCAATTTAAAAATTTTCCAAAAGCATACAAAAATTAGAGTATCACCAATCATTATAATGTTTTTAGGAAAGTTGGATAATTTTTGACATAACGACAATAACACTAAACAAAAACAACAAAATATTATTAGAATTTGAGATGAAGCAGTATGATAATGGAAAAACACAATTTATTTGAAACATCTGTTAAAACTAATAGTTAAATTTCAAAAATAACCAAAAGAATCTAAAAAAAGGTTACCAGAATTTATAGATTTAACTTCATACTAAACATACACCTACAATAGAAGCACGAACGGGTTATTCTTGTTCTATTTAACTGCATTTTAAATATAACTCACTAGATCTATTTAAAAAGAACTGACTTACCGTTTAATAAATTATTAGACTATGTTCCTATGGCACAAACACTAACTTAGACTAAAGAAAACAAACAAATGTTGAGCGTATGGTGTATTATTCCTAATGTTTGTCGAGTGTGAGTGAATCAACGTGACAGTCGTGACACTATTTCTCTTGGGTGTAGTAGTTGCACGGTGAAATGCGGTACTGCAACAGCGCCTGGTGAAGAAAAACTAGGTTTATTGAGGATGCGGCAACGTCCGCTCGCCATAAGGTGGTACTGGAACGACTGATTGGGTTTACACCTGTGGTTTCGTACGGTTGATTTCGTCTCGTGGAGAGATAAACAGTGAGGTTTAGGAATTTTAGTCGTACCAGTGGCGTAACATAATTTTAGTAAATTTGATTTTATTTTATGCTTATCAAAAACGTTGTATTGTAGAAGGTACATTGTATGGGAAGAGAGAACTTAGTCACCGCGACCTTATACCATCTATTGTGTCTAGGGAATGCAATCCCGCACCAAAATCTCAATCCCGCAAACCCGCGGGATTAAAGCAATCAATCCCGCGGGTCCGCAAAATTGCGGGACTGTGAACAATAAATGCCCCTCTTTGTACTGAACCTATTAACCTTGCTAAGAAAAAGGTTTTATGCAATTAAAACAGGCTATAGTAGCAGAAAAGTATTTATTTCATATTGGTACAATACAAAATATATCAGTTGTTCAAGTACATAGTTTTAGACGTAATACAAGTAATCTATTTAACTAAACTGCCGGACATAATTATCGGGACAAGCAAAATTTTAGGGTAAATTTAAAGTTGAATATCTCTTGAACTAAAAAAGATTTTGGGATGCGGTTTGGACCAGGTTTTAGACGCATCTATTGTAATTAAGATGCTATGTGGTTTTCGAAAATATATTTAGCGAATTCTCGTATACAGGGTGTTTTATAATAGTGTACAAATTTGGTTAAGAATCTTTTTTACAGAAAATTTACAACTTTTGAAAAATCGAAATTTTAACTATGTACGACTATTCTGTATTGAAATTAAAAAAAATTTGGTGGAATTTTTTAAATGTTTTGTTTTAAGGAAAATACGAGTTTTTTTGGAAAAATATGCATTTATAGTCATACATTTGGTCCTAAATGGTACAAAAGGCGTTGTACATTTTGCATAGGCCCACAATATATTGATATAGCGTGTATTTTAAACTAGCTGTACAGAAATTTGGACGGATGTATATAGGGTGTTCAAAAAATATATTTAATATTAAATAAACTTAAATTTTATTATAATTTATCTACTTATTTTATAAATAAAAATATTATTCTGATGTTGAAGTTATGTTAGTTATCTCTATATCAATAATTTTTTGGCATATGCAGAATGTACAAAGCTTTTTGTACCATTTAGGACCATACGTATGACTAAAATGCATATTTTTCGAAAAAACGTCGTATTTTTCGTTAAAATAAAAAAAAATAAAAAAGCGATCAAATTGTTTTTTTTAATTTTAATACAGATTAGTCGTACTTGGTAAAAATTTCGATTTATAAAAAATTGTAAATTTGCGGTAAAAAAGATTCTTGACTAAATTTTCACACTCTTATAAAACACCCTGTATACGAGAATTCGCTAAATATATTTTCGAAAACCACATAGCATCTTAATCACAATAGATGCATCTAAAACCTGGTTCAAATCGTATCCCAAAATCTTTTTTAGTTCAAGAGATATTCAACTTTAAATTTACTCTAAAATTTTGCTTGTCCCGATAATTGTGTCCGGCAGTTTATTTGACGAAATTGTCCAAGTACCAAGTACTAGTTAAAGGCTTTTCTTCACTTACGCACATAGGCCAGAAAGAAATCTAACAACTAACCTGTTTGTTTCACTTATTTTTAATGGTCAAGCCGTAAGGGGAATCCCTTGGGTTCCGAGCGTCGACACATCGGCTCGGAACGAAGCGGTTTGACCTTGATCAAGATCGATTCGGTTACCCAGTAGTAATGTGTCGATCCCGCAGATCCCGCACGGTAAATCCCGCAACTTTGATCCCGCGGAATCTCATAGGGATCCCGCGTTTGCGGGATACAGAATTTGCGAGATTGCATTCCCTAATTGTGTCCTCTTTTATTGGGTTATATCTCATTATGTATGTATATGTATGTATATGTATATCTCATTATACAGTCTCAGGGCTCTGACAAAAGCCAGTATCTCAGACGGTTTTAAAGAGGTTATAGCTCTCTATCTCCGATATGAGTCGTACCAAGGTTTATGGCACGAATGGTTGTCGTCTTGGCGCATTCAGTGATGAGGTGCTCTACTGTTTTCCCATTTTCCCCACAGGATCTGCATTCGCCGTTGTTTCTTAGCTTCAGTCTACTGAGGTGTTCATTGAGGAGTGTGCTGTTAAAAACCTCATGGACAATCCGAAGACTCGAAGTTCTTACTTAAATGAATGAAAATCACTTAAATGAATGAAAATCTTTTTATTTTGAGAAATTTCTTCGAGTGTCTTAGACCGTTGAAGGATTCCCATTCCAGACTACAGATGGAGTCTTCCAGGTTCTTGAGTTCCCCTGTGACAAAACTTTCAAGATTTGTCCGTTATCATGGTAGTGGGGCCTTTATATAATTATAATTAACATAATTTATTGAGCGGTAGAACTTGGATTAATGAGAGCACCGTCTTTTCAGAGCGTAAATCTAGTTTATCGTTTATATATAAAAAACAAAATATAACCAGCTAAAAATAGAAATTAAGGCATGGCACTTTTATGGTAAAGCTTCATTCAGAACCTCCCAATTAGTGGAATAAATTAATGGTTTCATTTTCAGTTAATAAAATTACACTTTATACATTTTAGTTTACGATCTTTCACAATGTCTAAAAAACACAATTAAAATTAATAAAATATCCTAGCAACAGCTTGCGGTAGTCTGTTGTATCCAGAGAGAAAGCATAATATTTAGCTTATAAAACCTTTGAATAAAAAGACTAAGGAAGGAGCATATCAAAAATCCTAGGTCCACCGCGACGGGACTCAAATATGGCCGACTTAAATTCCGGTTTATCAGTGCCGTTCTAATTTTATTTAAAAAATGTAAAACTGTGATGTAGGGTAGACGTGGGGTAGACTCAATAATTTTTTTATTATTTTACGTTGTGAATAAATGTTGGTAGTTATTAAAATTGTTATAAAACATATTATTATAATAAAAATAGATAAGATTTAATAATTATTTATTAACACAAACATCCGATACGCTACTGAAGCAGGTAAGTCAAATTGACGTATCTAAATTCTTTGACATCTAATCTTTGACAAGTAATAAATAAAAGCAAAAATGCAAGAAAAAATATATAATTAGTTAATTTGAGTGAATTTCATAAATGATCGGTTTACTACACGTATGTATATTATATAGTCACTTACTAGCGAAAAGTTCCATTATTTCATTCGATTTTTGTCGATCTACCGCACGCTACACAACCAACTATTTTAGAGTCTTTTTCGATAAATCGCGATAGTGTCGCTGTTAATTTAAGTTCTGCCACAATTTCCATCTAGATTTACTACCTTTATAAAACTATCAGTAGTAGAATAAATAATAAATAACATAAAATAAGCTCCGTAAAGACTGACAAATCTACAAAATTTCAAATGTGTCAAATGAATCGTCAAACAGAACTGTCAAGGATCCCCACCCTAGAGTCCTTTTTCCGCCCACCATGCATGAATACATGGATAGCATTATGCTCCTTCCTTAGTCTTCTTATTCAAAGTATAAAACAATAAACTTTTGATTTCTAACCAAAATTTTTCTTGACGGGTGGTGATGGGTGGTAATAAAGGCCAAAATGACATTCCTCGCAAATTTTGGAGTATAATTAGTGGAAAAGTCAAAAGTTTGTTAACTTTTTCCAGTAATTGAAAATTACTACCACTAATTATGACGTTCTGAATGCTTACATTAAAATTAGGTGAACAAACTTCTACGACTAATTGAGACTACTAATTTTAGGGTTCGTTTCAAATTTAGTTAATATCTTTGAATAAGAAGACTAAGGAAGGAGCATAATGCTATCCATGTATTCATGCATGGTGGGCGGAAAAAGCACTCTAGGGTGGGGATCCTTGACAGTTCTGTTTGACGATTCATTTGACACATTTGAATTTGATTTGAAATTTTGTGGATTTGTCAGTTTTTACGGAGCTTATTTTATGTTATTTATTATTTATTCTACTACTGATAGTTGTATAAAGGTAGTAAATCTAGATGGAAATTGTGGCAGAACTTAAATTAACAGTGACACTATCGCGATTTATCGAAAAAGACTCTAAAATGGTTGGTTGTGTAGCTTGCGGTAGAGCTCGGCAAAAATCGAGTGAAATAATGGAACAACTTTTCGCTAGTAAGTGACTATATAATATACATACGTGTAGTAAACCGATCATTTATGAAATTCACTTAAATTAACTAATTATATATTTTTTCTTGCATTTTTGCTTTTATTTACTACTTTTCAAAGATTAGATGTCAAAGAATTTAGATACTTCAATTTGACTTACCTGCTTCAGTAGCGTATCGGATGTTTGTGGTTATAAATAATTATTATAACTTATCGATTTTTATTAGAATTTTATATTTTTATAATAATTTTAATAACTACCAACATTTATTCACAACGTAAAATAAAAAAAAAATATTGAGTCTACCCCACGTCTTCCCTACATCATAGTTTTACATTTTTTAAATAAAATTAGAACGGCACTGATAAACCGGAATTTAAGTCGGCCATATTTGAGGCCCATCGCGGCGGCCCTAAGATTTTTAATATGCTCCTTCCTTAGTCTTCTTATTCAAAGGTTAATATAAAACTGAAAACTCTATATATACTGCCACTTACCTTATTACGTCAACATCTGTCAGCATTACATCAACAACATATCAACAACAAGAACCTGTCGAAGACCTCATTGATCCCCTTGTAGATCTACCCATTCGGTCTTGGACTCATTCTTTGGAGTAAACCACTCGACCGGTTTTCACAGTGTTCTTTTAAATAGCTAAATATTTTAGTGAAAAGGTGAGATTAAGAAATAAAATGCCGATTTTACACAACACCTAAGTAAATTTAATATAAAGATATAAATAAATATAAAATAAAGAAAAAGATGTAACAACAATTATTGACTTTGCAATAATTAATGAAATATAAAGAAGAAAAAAAAATACTCAAAAATAATTAATGAATGAAATTAGAACTCACAGAGATGATAAAGTTAAAAATTAAAAATATTCTTCTTATTAGTCTAATCTAAATTAGCTAAAATTAACATACAATTCAAATCGACATGGGATTTGAAACCTAACAGAAAGATATTTAGTTTTTTTTCTCAGAGAAACGGGTCCTTTATTCTAAACAGTTTTTACGATATTCTGAAAAAAATATCAATTTAAGGGCGGAAACACATGACAACTTTTAACAAACTAGGTTTGTTGTCTGCTCTAAAATATTCCATTACACCCCTTTAAGCTGGTTTCCAGTTGGGAAGCAGAAAGGTTCTGGTCCGTTTACTGGAGAGTTTGCTCATTTTCTTGCTAGATCGTTTGATTTTGGACAGTCTCCAATTACTACATCAAACTGAAATTTGGATCCTTTAGAAATTTCAAAAAGGAAAGCTGTTCTTGTTTCCCTGAAAGGGGGATTTTCACTAAAATTGTTATATATCGTATCAAATCACCCGGTTTAAAATAAGATGCTTTAGTGTCAGGATAATTAACATTTTGGGTTATCTGATTGAATAACACTTCCATAGTTGCTATAGGACAAGAATTATAGCCTAGATACATTTAAGAGTCCCTTTCACTAGTCCGAAAAAGTAGCAAAATAAGCGTTCGAGATTTAACGTTTTATGTAAAACTGGCTAGTTATCTTTACTCAAATGAAGAAGGAAATTAAAGATAAAGAATATACGATATCCGTATTGTAGCACATTTTTAGACAACTTCTTTATTTTTAAGATTTTGAAGGTCAAACATCAACAAAATATCCCTTATGTTTGGATTAAATTTTCTTGAAAACAAAGAGATAATTTAAAATTCCGTTACAATACGGAAATGGATTGAAGTTTTGTGATTATAGTGATATATAATTTATATGGTTTTGTAACAAATTTCTCGCTATTTTATGGCAAATGCTGAAGCTCTGCAAACCTTAATCAAGCCTTAATCAAAGCACGTGTGTTTGGAATTTTGGTTATGGCTTAACACGACAGGATCGGGATAAGCCTTAGGCATATTTCTGAAATATAATATATATTTCCTTCGGCCAGACACCCGATTTACCCGACCACTGAGAGCGACCCGAACAGTACAGCGTAATGCCGCAAACGCACATGCGGTATTTAGCGAACCCCGAGCGCTCGTCAACTACCGAGCGCTCGTGATCGGACTTCGCCTTTCCATCCATACATGCGGGCTCTGATAGCAACAACATAGAGACAAGCGCTCGTTCTCGTCGCCGATCGAGTCGCCGAACTCCGACTTCCCCATCCAACACATAGGAAATCGGCGAAGCCCCGATCAGAGTTCGCCAAATGCCGCATGTGCGGATGCGGCATAACAGACTCTTAAACAAACAAACCATTGTTTTTTTGGCCAGCGTATAAGTGGAGCGTAGGTGATTAGATTTTATTTGGTATAGGTAGTAGGTGTAGTGAGTACATTATTTTTAGTTATAAACCCCAGGTCTTTTCCTCAAACATACTTTAATAACACATATCTGCGTAACGAATGAAGCTGTTCAAATGCAGATCTCTTTTTCGATGTTCGTAAATCAAATGCAGATCTCTTTTTCGATGTTCGTAAATGATACTAGAAGATACATCCTTTAATTGATTTTTTCTTATTCGATATTTGATGGTAGCCTTTTGCAGAATAGTACGGAACTCTTACACACATAGCAGGTGGTTCATTGTTTCTATTCTCGAGTAGGTCTAATAGGCAGTTAGAAGACACACCAGTGTTTGTACCCCAATTTGTACCTTATTTTTTTATTTATAATCGAAAAATATATATTTTTTTCCATAGCAGCTGTTAAAATTGCTTTATATCTATCAAAAATAGTAGATAAAATAGTGCTTTAACCGCAAGGGTAGATTAAATGATACTTTAACAGCGAGAATAGGTTTAAAACTTTATTTATTCTCGCACGTTTTTTAATTGCTTCCATTTTTGAAAATGTTTGTATTCCTTTTCATAAGTTATTCGGGATTTAAATGGAAGTAATTTGGATATGGCGTTTGTCGCCTCAGCTTGAATATCTGTTGGTAATTTACTTATTTCGTTTTGAGCCGTTTCTGGCTCCAATTCAATCAGCAATCGACACGAAAGAGAATTAAAAAATGTTGACTCAAAACTGACAACGAAAGAGACAGTTTTGTTTATTTGTCAAATTACATAGAAACCAACGCCAACCCAGCACAATATTTTTTCTACTCGTAATAAATTCCTTAATAAAATTGCATTATAAAATATATAATATATAATACGTAATAAAATTGCATTATCGTCCCCCGAAATTAATTCAATCGCGATTTCATCGTTCGTGAATTAATCTTTTCGGTCGACGATAAAATACCATTTTATCGTCTTGTATAAAAAAAAAACTATTAATTTTGGTCACATTGCAATTTTATTTTATTCTTATTAGATAATATTTTTGAAACATTATTCACATTTTTTATTCATTCTATGCATTACGCGGATGTTTTAATAACATCCAACGCTTTGTATTTTACCGGCAACGTAAATATTTAAAGTCAACCAACGCAAAAGCAATAAACTTAGAAATTTAAAAATTGGGTAATAGTAGAGGTTATAAAATCACTAGCGGGTGTAAACCTAGATATTTTTTCCTGATTTCCTGGCGTGTGATTTAATTTTGGTCACGTTGGATCGCTTGTATTTCCCTATTATGTAAACAAAACAGTTATCTCCATTTATGTAAAAATTGCAGCAACGAACATTAAATGTGTTTTCTTTATTAATTAATTAATGTCAAATTAAAATATCATTTATAAATATTACTGGAATATTAACTATTTATTATAGTTTTAATTAAATTCTCTTAGGAATCTGCTTTGATAAAGAATTAAGTGTTTATTTCATTAAGCATCTTTTCCTATTGTTATATACATGTTTTCCTCTTTTTAATTGAAAAATACAAAATGGAAAATGGAAAGCCAAAGACCATACAGGGTGTCCCAGAAATAAGTGCAAGTATTTTAAAGGGTGGTAGATTTCGATAAAAGAAACTTATTAATTTAATTTATTACCTATGTTGCCATATTATCAACAAATTATGTTTTTTAACTAAAAATTTAAAAAAATTCCAAAAATTTTTTTCAAAAACTTCCGAATTTTCAATTTTTTTTTGAAATGTACCTCATAGGAGTGTTTCTGGGGTTAAACTGTATTACCAGTTAAAATACTTGCACTTATTTCTGGAGTTAAAATACTTGCACTTATTTCTGGGACACCCTGTAGAGTGTGTATAAGATTTTACACTTCAATATATTCCATAAGTTGAGTTGAAATTTTTTATACAGTTGTGGTTGGAAAATTTGATGTTAAGGCCCCTACAGACGGACATTTTTGTACGCGTTTATGTACGCGCGTTCAAAAACATGCACTAGCACTGCATACAGATGCACATACAAAATCTGAAAATCCACACTGTTTTAGAGCGATGTCCAGGAAAGTGGTTGAGTTAGCATTGGCAGCAGTGGCGTGCACTGCTGTGCTTCAAACAAAAGTTAAAAAAATAAAAAAACCGCGGCTTCTTCAACGCCAAAGGTTTGGTCATAGTACCAAAGTAAAGGAACATACACTTCATCCGCTCCCGAACCTGATCTCTTGGAGTCAACAACAACAACCTTTCTATGTTCCCTTCGAAATCCTCCCCGAAGACTGTTAAGTTTCGTTATAACTGAAGCCTTAGTCGCGTTTGGTTGAACAACTTGTAGCTTTCTAACCAGCTTTGCGTAAGCCTCGTTTTTTAGTTTTATCTAAATATTGTTTGGATTTTACTTGCCAAAGACAGGGCATTTCTCTGTACAATTCAATAAATTCCCGCAGGAATTCACGGGATAGTGTTCTACAATCAGACATTTCTACTAAGAAATTATTAGCAAAGTCAAATCAACAGAACGCTGCAGCTTGTGGGACCAATCGACGCTATTGTTGTGCGACGCACAGTTCACATCCACACGTTGAGACTTGCAAGAAAATCCTGCGTGCACGTACAAAATTTCTGTCGTCGACAGAAATCATGAGCGTCGTTCAAAACGAATGTGCATTCAAAAACGTGACGTTTCTTTGCATACACCTTGACGTTTTTGTATGCACGTTTTTGAACGCACGTAGATGCATATGTAAGCATCAGAATTAATAAATGTAAAGATAGTATGAACAGAGTCAACGGTCCAATTCCTTCAAGTTCTTTGTTCCTACTACTCTAGTGGCGGAAATCTAACTGTTACGCTCAGTTGGCTCTGACTCGGTTGGCTAGATTTTGCCACGCCCACTCGGTGCCCCACTGAGCGAGTATATAAACGCTCAACTTGTAGATTGTACTTTAGTTTATAATCATCTGCTGATGATGCTAACATGGTTAGCGAAACGCGCGTCCAGTGTAAAATAAAAGTGTTTTGGTGTATTGTGGTGATTTAGTGTTTTTATTTTGCAACGCACGTACATAAACGCGTACAAAAACGTCCTTCTGTAGGGGCCTTTACAATAGCAAAATAAAGCATCAGTTTACCACGACTCTAGCACACATTACTTTTTTTTAACTTAATAGTTCAATAAAAGAGACACTTTATAGCAATCCAAATTCATTTTTTTCAGAAATAATGAAAGGAAAACTGGTTCCATTGGTAGTTCTTACCGTTATTGCATATGTTAGATGCCAAATTAATATTAGCAATGGTGGTAGAGCTGGCCCAGGTATTTCAGATGAAAATTTAGAAGATTACTGCTATAGACAAGATGAAGAACCGTATATTTATTTTGGTACCAAGACGTCGTATGATAGTTTAACAAGAAGAGGAGGCCAACAACATACAGTGCCAGGTAGCTATATTTATATTATCTAAAAGTACTTATTTTATGAACTGTTGTAGCAATGAGTATATCCAATTTTTAAATATCGTGGGCGTACAAGGAAAACCATGTAAGTCCAAAAACTAAAAAGGCGAGAAAAAGTGATTTTAATGTTTGAAGTGATATGTAAAATCCAATTTTATTTTTTGACTGCACTAAAAGAAATCGCTTGACATTAGGGTTATCTAGGGCTAATTTAGGCTAAATTAAAATACAGGGGTTTTAAGAACAAATTGTTTATTGACTTTTTTTTATAATAATCTGACTTAATGGATTTTTCTGAAAAAAACTTAAATTTTACTGGAGTTAGTGGGTTTTTCTTGATTGGCTCCTTTACTTTTTGGGATCAAATAATGAGCCAGAGGCTCATTATCGGAATCACAATCGCTTTCTTGATCGGGAATTCCCACAGATCCTTCTTGAACATTTTTGCAGACTGTTAAAAAAATTCATAAATCCATTAAGTGCACTTAATAGATTTTTCTGAGCGAAATTTAGCGTCTGTGGACTTAGTTATTTTGAAGCTAATAATATCTCGTATATTTGAACTGTATTGGACTTAAAGGATATTTAATATGAGAGGTTATACCTAAATAGACTTGGTAATGTGAAAAAACGATTTTACGAAAAAGTGGACTTACATGGTTTTCCTTGTACGCCCACGATATGCAAAATTATAATTTCAGGTTGTCAGCCCGTGCAGTTTTGGTCTATAAATAGACATGGAACCAGATTACCCAAAGTAAACAAGATACAAAAATTGAGAAAACTTGAAGAACTCAAAGAAGAGATCATTAAGAACTATGAGCAAAGGAAATCATATCCAAGTATTGGACAATTGTGCCATGATGATTACAATTTATTGAGGAGGTAAATACGAAAGGATGGAATAGATTTTAGAGTAGGTTGAATGTAGATTGGATGTAGATGAGAGATGTAGATTTTAGAGATGGATATCGGCGACTTTTCAGATGTATTGTTGTTCTCTTTTGATCTCTAAGTTACATTCTATAGTCCCATCATTCTAAAAACTTTAATAATTTGGAGACTGAACGATTCTTATATCTCCTTCTCAATGGCTGATCATTGCCCCATACAAAGAATCGCACATTTTCTAGGCTTTCGCACTGAAATAAAATCTGTTCTGTCGTTTCTTGTTCGGATTGACAAATTCTGCACATTTTGCGTCAATCCTATTATCTATTTGTGTCGATTAAGCTTACAATGCTCTGTAAGTAGTCCCATTACAGTTTTGAGACTTTTGTAAATTTTCCGTAAATTTTGGCGAATAGTCTACTATGAGGTTTTTTGCCTGTCTCTGCCCTAGTGAATTTCTCCACTGTCTCCACTATTCTAGAGATTTGCTGGCTATCCACTGTTTCATTTGAGATGTATAAATGCTTATCTAATGTTTCGCAATTTTCGACCAATGTTAAGCTTAATTGTTTTAGAACCAAATAAATGTTTTTTATGCAATGCAATATTCTACATATAGTTACTTTTATGATCCCAAGATTGCAACATTCCCACTTCCTAGATTAGAAGATCTTCTAAACTAGGCGGTGGATTTTTTTGGGAAATCTCCTGTCCGCTTTTGAAATAGAGTCTGCCTAATATAAATCTTGACTTTCGCGATGTTTCAAGATAAGGAAAAGCCTATTAGATACATCAGTAGTTACTAATGACCCCTAAAAGATGGTTAAGTACAGACGATTTACAGATTTTTCTATTTTCTCATATTAGGTGGAGATGGAACGATTCCATAACAGAAGACAAAGCTGCCTCATTAACTCAACAAGGAGTAAACGAATTGAGACTGTTGGCTAGAAGATACAGGTCAAAGTTTCCTCAACTTTTCAATCAACCATACAACGAAGAGGCATATTACGTAGGTATTTTACACTTCCTTAATAAACAAACTATTTAAACCACTTTAAAATTGTTAGTTGTACTAATTTGTTTTTTATTTTACCTCCAGTTTCAGTATACTCAATCTGACAGAACCCATGACAGTTACCAAGCCTACATCGAAGGTATCTTTAACCAGGATTACTATAGGGTTCATGCAAACACTGCTGGTAACGACATGTTACTGAAGGTGAATTTTCTTATCTGATAAATTTATTATAACTATAACAATGATAAGTTAAATATCCGAGTAGACAGAACTCTTCCAGTAGAGGCAAAAAGACTCAAAGTCGATGCTTTTGGATTTAGAAACCTCTTTGTGGGAATAATGAACTCCTTTTTTTTTAAATTATTCTAGTTGTTTCAAAATATAATACCAAAAAGTATTATCATAATCATTTTATTACACAGAGTGTTTAAAGGGCTAACATTACTGGAACAATTTGTCTTGCATTTCTTTTTTTTGTGAATAGTACTAACTGAAAAAATAGGCTTACAGGAACTGCCCGGAATGGCAAGAAAAAGTAGAAGCAAATCCCGAAAGCACGATGGAGTACAAACAATATCTAGAATCTCAAGAATACCAAGATATGGCGGCACAAGTGTTTAGAAGGCTTGGATTTCGATATGCCTTAAACTCTTCGTTAATTCAAGATATCTATGATATGTGCCGGTTTGATAAAGCTTGGTAAGTAGCCAACAAATCTTTTATGTATTAACTGTTTCTCTATTAATCAGTATTGATTTAATCTGTGTATTATGATTAAGATGTGTTTAAATTTTTACTATAATTTATGCCATGTTATCTATTTTTATATGAACAGTTTTTTTCATTGTCCAAAGCACACTTGCGCAGCTAGATTTAAGTTACTTATATATTTACATAAATACCCAGATTTTAGATCTTAAATTTAAAACTGATGGTTTTATCCCATGTAAATGAATTAATTTTGAAATATTATTACACCTTTCTAGGCAAGTGGATCAGCCCTCTGCGTGGTGCACTGCTTTTACCAAAGATCAACTCAAATTCTTGGAATATGGCGAAGATTTAAAAGAATACTACAATACGGGTTACGGAAGCAGTCTAGTTGAGAATATTGGTTGTGGCCCAGTACAAGATATGTATAGAAAATTCGAAAAAACTGTGCAAGGTATCATTTATCAACTTCTTTAAATGCTTATAATAACAAAATTTATACCATTTATTTTAAGGGTATCCTGATGGAAATAAAGTTACTGCTCTATTCACACATGCAGCAACGATGCAAGCAGTTTATTCAACAATGGGAATAGCCAAAGATTATACCTTACTTAGAGCTAATAACTATAGGCAGCAACAGAGAAGAACGTGGAGGACGTCATTCATTAATCCTTTTGCATCAAATTTAGTTGCAGTACTGTACCAGTATGTTACAATCTTTTCTTTTTTTGAGTATCAATTAATTATAAAAAATATATTAAAAATGTCCTTTGGAATACTCTCGTTAGTAGTATTAATATAAAGATCTATGTATATAAAAATTAATCCCTATTTCAGTTGGTTACGCCATAATTTGAGAACGACTTTTTACCAGTTTTATTCATATTTGTTGTTTAAGTTTTCTAATTCTTTTTAGAAAGTTTAAAAGAATTTTGCAGAAAGTTGGACTACTTAATCTTCGCTAGTTTGACAGATTACGCCCTTCAAATGTAATTTAACAGCTGCATTGGTCGGCATCTATCATAGACTGTTATCATACTGACATTTATCGGTCAGATAGGAAATGGATAGGAACGTTTATCCAGTTTTCAGTTTGTTCAGCGAGTTTTTTGAGAAATGTTTGTTCACTGCAGTTAGTGCATCGCACCACCACAAATATCATAGTTTACAATTACCAATGACTAAAGAATACAAGGACATGTAACGCCCATATAGGGGCTGCAGCAGAATTTGTGACCTAAGACAACATTTTTTTGATGGCAAACAATGAGTCTTCATCTCGTCACCAGCGACAATTTTAGCGATTTTTAATAGTTTGTGTGTAGTGAACTTTGTATAAATTTTATTACAATGGTGATTAGTTGTTCAGCTTTCAAATGTAAAAGCAGCAGCGATAAGAAAGACTCAGGAGTTTTAAAAAAAAGAAAGACTCAGACAGTACGTTTCATAAGTAAATAAACAGTCCGCTCCACCTTTTTAGCGTTTTTTTAGTTTTCTTATTGAATTCGATAATTATTTTTCTGATATTTTATGTACTTGATATGTCCTATACGTCGATACTAGTTTTGTACCTTTTGTTAACATTTTAATATGTTTTTTTTCGTAATTAATTAGTATGATACCAACGTATACACCATAGGCGTAGTCAGCCCCGGAGCTAAGGGGGGGTAAACAGGGGCGCCCGCCCCGGGCGCCAGTGTCAGGTAGCGCCAAAATCATAATATAATAGGGTTGAAAATCAAAAAAATTGCTCCACAAAGCGCCTAGTATGCACCTTACGTTCTTCGTAATTAATAATTAATTAATAATTCCTCACCTTCTTATCTAAGTAAGTATTAATTTTATTTTAAAACGCGCAGTTAGTTTTTGAACACAGTCTAAAATTTCATTCAGAACCTCGCAATTAGTGAAATAAATTAGCCGTTTCAATTATTACACTTTTTACTTTTTAGTTTACGATCATTCACAATGTTTAAAAAACACAATTAAAATTAATAGAATATCCTAGCAACAGCTTGCGGTAGTCAGTTGCATCCATAAAGAAAGCCAAATATTTAGCTTATAAAACAATAAACTTTTGATTTCTCACCACGATTTCTCTTGACGGATGCTAATCAATGACCAAAATGACATTTCCCGCAAAATTTGAAGTATAATTAGTGGAAAAGTCAAAAGTTTTGTTTACTTTTTCTACTAGTTGAAAATGACTACCACTAATTTAAACCTTCTGAATGCTTACATTGAAATTAAAGGAACAAACTTATACGCTAATTGAAACCACTAATTTATTCCACTAATTTGTGTTCGAATGAAGAGAGAGCTGAATGAAGGTTCTTCTTCTTCCTGTGCCTTGTGCTTAGCCGCACGTTGGCGATTGTCTGTACTCTTCATACAATGTGTAGACTGCCGTTTTCGGCTCTTCGAAATATGGTGGCTGCGTCGCTGATGTTACACCAATCCCGTATGTTTCTTAGCCGGGAATGTTGTTTTCTTCCTGGGCCTCGCCGTCCCTCTATTTTTCCTTGTAGAATCAGCTTGGGAATGTAATATTTGTCTCCTCTAAGGATATGTCCGAGGTATGAGACTTTCCTTTCTTTAACTATGTTAAGCATTTCTCGTTCATAACCTGCAGTTCTTAAAACTTCTTCGTTGGTGGCATGTGCGGTCCATGGCACACGTAAGAGTCTCCGGAGAGTCCACATTTCGAAAGCCTCGATGCGGTTCAGGGTTCTAGCCTTGAGAGACCAGGTTTCTGAATGAAGCTTAAGTGCTTATTCTGTCCCGTTTACGAAAAATGCCTACCTATATCTAGATATTTGTAAGTTTTTTTAAATTAATTTATTGCAAACGCTGGAGAGAGGGGGCGCTACTATCAATTTTTTGCCCCGGTTCAAAAAAATTGTAGATCCGGGGCTGGGCGTAGTCAAACCATTTATCAAAAAATATAAATATCTCTTCAAACAGCTAGGTTAAGAAAAATATGTGCCACGCACTGTTTGGTGACATCGTCACAATTTGCTCTCGGGTGTTATTTGTCCTTGGATTCTTTAGCCTATACAAATTCCAAAACAGCAACGTTAATATAAAATATAACCTGGCAGTTTTAAATCTGCTTTGAGTTTTGAGTTACTCTCAAATGGAAAACTGTTACAATCACCGGCACGAAAAAGTGACACCTTAAAATTTTGATGCATTTTAAAGTTTTATACAATATTGTGTTCCAGTGGACGGATTTTGATGATCTTTTAAGCAATTTCTCTAAGCAAGTCTCTCTCTAAATTGAAAATGAAAGTTCCAATCTGTGTCAATTATCACGAAGGAGCACAAAACGTTATTTTGGTAAAGTTTGGAACACTCTCTGGAATACGTTAAAAAATCAAGGAATATGAAAATAATTTTATCATCTAGATGCACCTTTTCTTGATAGTTTATTTTTTTGTTCATCAAAATAGCTTTATTTTTTTGGAGATATTTTTGAAGAAGACATAAATCTTATGTCAAGAAGGTCTCCTTCGGGATCACAACTTATTACTAGGTCTATTGACTAGGACCAAAAGCAAAGGCACGGTTTTAATATAAAAATTACGAAAAAATGTTAGTGTTTTCTTCAAAAGCGAATATCTCCAACAAAAATAAAGCTCTTGAGATGAAAACCAAAAAGTAAACTATCGAGAAAGGATGTACCTAGATGATAAAATGATTTGTAAATTCCTTCCTGTCTTAACATATTCCACAGGGTGTTTCAAACTTTCACCAAAATATCAACATTTTATTTCCCCTGGTTTAATTGACAGATAGAAAATCATTTTTAATTTGGAAAGAGATACTAAAAATCAAACAATTTAGCTACATATTGCTTAAAAAATTATCAAAATCGGCCCAGTAGAGCAAAATACAGGGTGGTCCGAACTGTACTCCGGAAACTTCGGCAGCATATTCTACAGATAAAAATAAGTGAAAAAGTTCGTATAAATGTATGTCCTAAAATGCTTGGTTTCGGAGATACAGGGTGTAGAAGTTTCATTTTTATTTCGATTTTTTCCTAATAATTTCTGAAGTAACGTCAATATTAGGATGAAAATTGATGTCTGAGAGTTTTTTGACATGAGAAATTTGATTTTGAGATTTTGTAGAGAGCGCCACCTACATGTGTTTTAACAGGTTTGAAGAGTTATAACTTTTCATCCGTATCTGTATAAAACTACTGAGTAAAAAATTGTACATTTTCGTGATTTTTTACGTAAAAAATGTCTCTTAGTAAAAATCGCTATGAGCAACCGTTCTCAAGACATTTAGAATGGAAATAGTCAATACATGTCAATATTGACAAAAAATAAACACGTTGAGTAGATAATTATTTGACTAAAATAATAATTTTGGGAAATGTTTATTTTTTTAATCATAAATTTTACGGCAAAAAAATCATGATAAAACAGTTTCTGTTGACCTTTGCCACAAAATAATTTCAAATTTATGATTTCAGTCTGATAACTATGTAGTCAACATGTTTAATTTATGTCAATGATGACAGGTATTGATAATTTTGATTCCAAATATCTCGAGAACCATTACTCGTAGCGATTTTTACCAAGAGACCTTTTTTACGTAGAAAATGTCGTAAATGAATAGTTTTTTACTCATTAATTTTATACAGGTACGGACAAAAAGTTATTAGTCTTCAAACCAGTTAAAAAATATGTAGGTGGCGCCCTCTACAAGTAGGAGTCTTATTGACATCAAAATCAAATTTCTCATGTCAAAAAACTCCCAGACACCAATTTTCACCCGAATATTGACGTTAATTCAGAAATTATTTGGAAAAAATCGTAATAAATTTAAACTTCTACACCCTGTATCTCCGAGAAGAAGCATTTAAGGACATACATTTATACGAAATTTTCTGCTTATTTTTATCTGCAGAATATGCTGTCGAAGTTTCCGGAATACAGTTCGGACCACCCTGTATATTAAACATTAAAATAAAAATTTTAATGTGCCCGTTTTTCATGCCGGTGACTGTACTTGAAATCATAACTATCATATTATTCAGTAGAATTTTCTTGTAAATGTTACTCGGAATATTTCTAGGAATATGCTCTGGTTTGTTATTTTATTCTATTTCTTTCAACATGTTATAGTTGATAAATACAATAATTTATTTTTACTTGTTTAGATGCCAAAGTAGTGGTCAACCGGGCAACAACTTCAAAGTTATGTTCTTTTTAAACGAAGTCCCTATTGAGGAATTCCTTGGATGCTCAGTAGGACTTTGTGACTGGGCTACAGTCGAAAATAAGTTCCAGAAACTAGTTGAAACCTGCAACGTGGAAGCTTTTTGTGAAGGCTTAAATTCCGCATCCTCTAACACTATGTCTTTTGCTTTGGGTGTTTTATCAGTGATTTTAGTACTATTTAGAATACTTTAATAATTAGGAAACAGTAAAAGTATTTAATTTTATCTTAATACGTTTTTCAGAAAAAAAAATGATTTTTATATTGTAGACCATTTTTCATAATTATTTATTTAAACTCATCAGTTTATTAGATTACATTTAAAACCAAATATTAGCAAGTGCTGCTGTCACTGAAACAATCAATTTATGTTTTATTTATATAAACTTCTAAAATTGTACCTACTTAACACAAAAAGTCTACGAACTCAGTGTTATTTACATATGAGCACAATTTCTATGGCAATATCTCTAATTTTGTGATTTCTAGATTAGTTTTGTGTATGTATATAACTGTAGCAAATTTAAGTTATGTTTTTATCTATTTACGGCCTGTATGTAACGTGATATTCTTTTAAGACCTATGTGTGGTTTTAATATTTTAATTATTATTTTAAATAGTTAACTATTAACTTGTTAAAAAAATTAGAAATTTGCTTGTGTCGCATGTCGTTTAGCTTTTGTTATTAAAAATCGTAGTACAAATAAGTTGTAAGTAAATGTTAATATCTGTTAAATAAAAAATAAAACAATAATTGTATATTTGTTAGAATTCCCTTTAAACATACAATTTGCTTTAATGTCATGATTACTACTATGAGTACTAAAAATTCACTGCTTAGAATACGTTTCGTTCAATTGAATCGTAGCCAGCACGAATCTATACGAGTCGTGTGAATAATTGATTTATTGCTTGCAATACGGTTCGTTCAAATGAATCGTGGTCGGCACGGATTCATAAGATTTGAACGATGAGCCATAAAAAGAATCGTGAGAATTGAATCGGATCACAATGCGATCGTTCGTTTCTACGGCGCGGCGGTGATATAGACATAAGAGTCAGGAACCAATATTTAGACATGAAGAGATATGAGGAATAGATATATTAGACATGAATAAGAATGTTATTTATAAGAAAAAAAACTTATTTATACTGTGTTTAGTACGGGAGTATCTGTAAAGGAGGGTCCGCATTTAATAACATGTTATAAACATTGCTATTTAACAAGCTACATATCACACGCTAAAAAACCGGGAGCCGTCCACATTATAGTTTTCGTAATCATGAATCGTTTTGGCGAGAAAGAGGTTCTGCTAGCAACAGTGGCGTGCGTAATTATTTTTGAAGAAAGAAACAGAAAATCGAGAAAAAAAGCGGTTTTGAGTCCGCCATAGCCTACAAGATAGATCTACATATAGTTGAACGCAATTAGCTTACCTTTTCAATACCTGCCTCGGCTGATTCTCAAGGTATGTTTCTGTCTTTTAAAAACATTAATAGGTAACTTAAAAGGAAAGCATTTTGAATTATCCACTTCGTCTAAACCAGTACCTGATTTGCATTTCTTTTGTTCCCTCTGGAACTGCCCTATTAGATAACGCATTTTTTTCAACTTTTTCTCTTTCCAAATACATACTTTTTGCAATTTTTAACCATGCATCATGCTTTTTTTTATTTCACTTTAAATGAGGGACTGCGGATATCGCATAACACTGTATGATCTCTATACAACTTAATTAGTTGACGAGTCTGCTCTTGGCTCAACTCCATTAACAATATAAGAACTTAGAGAAAATAATAAAAAGTTTTACTTTACTATAAGTTCTAGCTTTTTACTATCTTTTTCTATGTATAAGAACCATAAGACCGAAAAAATGGCGTCAACGATGGCTATGAAATGAAGACCGCTGTCATTTTGTATGAAAAATTATAATGGGAATGTCATCGACCGTCATGTCCAAGCCAACTGGACGGGAGGCCGACTGGACGCAGTTATTTTTCGATCATACGGTATTATTGACCAGTAAATAAACAAACCCAGTAACAGCTCACCATACTAAGATTCTGTCGCGCACGTCCCTGAAAATATAAGCGGCTAAACTAGAAATTTACCAAGTCTGGACGCGTTGTTTCATGTTACAATATAAGTGTTGCGCAATATCTTTTGATCTTTACCGACTACAAATGGATAACATCTAGCAAGTTATATAGCAGCAAAATTTGCTAAATATGACTAAAAATATGTAACATGTTATATAACTTTGTTATATAGCAGTGTTATATAGCAAGTGTGGACCGTCCTTAAGGTATTTAATTTTTACGTTAATATTTTTGTTAAAGTAATATTACAGACTATAAACCATTAAATGTCGGACTAAAAGACGAAATCGTGTGTTTATGCAACTCCAAATAAATATTGTTGGCCTCTGCTCAATATGATAAAAAAAAACGGAGTCAGCGATGGTTATAAAATGAAAATTGCTGTCATTTTATATGTAAAATTATATGGGCAATGTCATCTATGTTCATTTGCAAGCCAGCTGGATGCCATTTTTTTTTCGATCGTGCGGTATTATATACTATTTATTATATGATTATTAAATCGGAATTAAAATATGGCTCTAAAAATATTGAATTAGTATTAAGAAGTCTTTAATAAATACACACACCGGAAAAGTCTAGGGATATTACAATTTTATCCAGCCATCGTCAGTAATTTTATTATTTGCATTTCTGATATAATAAAATTAAAATAAACAAATAGTTTACAGGACGTATTGGAAATAAAAATGCGAAATTTACCGAATTTTTCAAATTTACCTTGATTTTTATTGAACTCAAAAAAATACACACATCTTTTTTTCTTTCATTCTAAACTGTGAATAAAAAAAAGATAAAACCATTTTTACTTAATAAAGGGTATGGCCTCCCCTACTGTTCATTACAGCCCTATATCGTCTCTCCATGCTCCTGATCAGGTTGTCGATCTCTTCTTGAGGTACACGGCCTGCTACGCTGCATTCACGGCCCGAATCAGTTCCCTACGAGTTTCACGAGGCATACCCATTCTCAAAATTCTTCTTTAGACCGCGTCCCATACGTGCTCGATGGGGTTGAGGTCAGGAGATTGTGCCGGCCAGGGTAAGATGTTTAATTAATGAGCATTGATAAACTCACTTACCACTCTGGCTGTATGAGGTCGTGCATTGTCATGCATGCGAATGAAGTTTCTCCCAAAATCATTGGCATATGGTAACACGACAGGGTCAAGAATTAAATCACGATATGTGATTCCTGTTAGAAACCTTTCAAGAAAAACGAGATCGGTTTTTCGGCCTAACTAGACTCCTCCCCAGACCATAACTGTTCCACCTTGGTAAGGGTGCACTTCCTGAACATGATCCAACCGAATAAGATTTGCCGGTTCTCTCCATACCCTAAGCCTTCTCGAATCCGGATGAATTCCAAAGCGTGACTCATCCGTGAAGAGAACATTGGCCCATTGTTCATTCGACCACTGAACGTGATCTTGAGCCCACAAATATCGTACCTCTCGATTTCCTCTCGTTAAGGGTTGAGCTCTCCAGGGGTGTTTGCTTCTTAAGTTGACCTCTCTTAATCTATTGCGAATTGTGTCAGGACTAACGGTTACATTATGTGTTTCCTGGAGAATTAAACTAAGCTCTGGTGCTGTAACAGTCGGTCGGCGTCGAGCATTTAATTGTAAAAAATGATCTTGCTGAGGGGTAGTAATGCGATGTCGCCCTGTGTGCCTTTCAGCAACATCACCACTTTCACGGTAGCGTGCACTTAATCGCGATATTACACTTTGCGTTGTATTTAATGCTCTAGCTACGTCGATTTGGCGCATTCCAGCTTCGAGCATACCCATGGCCCTTAGTATTTCGTCTCTGTTAAGATGTCTACGCTCCATAATGTCGTTTAATACTAAACAGAGTTATTTGATAGCCAGTACAGGTTAAATTCGAACAATTGATACTAGGTGCTTTTTATACAGTTGACAAAAAATGCACAAACACTTCTGCAAATATCCCAAATTTAGAAAGAACTAGTGTGACTACTTCGTTTCAATCGAAGTAGAAAGAATTGGCCTATAAATATGTGGTTGTTTATTCAAAATATTTATTTTTAACTTTAATAAAATGATATCCCTAGGTTTTTCCGGTGTGTGTAGTATAATATATGAATTGGATAGATAATTTAATATTTTTTGTAAAATAGTCAATCCGATTACGTTAGTGTCATAAAGTGTTGAAAAACAAATGAAAGAACTGTATATTTCTTTTTTTTGTACCTTAAATAATTATTCGGTCAAATTATAGCCGGTAGTGCCACTTACGATTCTGATTTTTATGAAACGTAAATTGTGCATGTGGTTCGTTCAAATAAACGAATCGTAGGAGTCCATTCAATATGAGAAATTGAATCGTGTGATTCGATTCACTAAAAAGAATCGTAATGCCCATTACTAGTATACTGATATCTTCAAAAATATTTTGGAAATATGGATAATTATTAACAGATGCTTTATCTTCCAGAAAAAAAAAACAGGAAGAAGAAAGAATGTATTTAAAATATCTAAATGAAACTATTCGAGTTTTTGTACGTCTACAAAAACTAAAGTGTTCTCGAATAGTTTCATTCGGATATTTTAAATAGTTTTTTTCTTTGTCCTTTGTGTTTTTCACATTCAATTTGTCATATTGAATCGACTCCTACGATTCGTTCATTTGAACGAACCACGTGCACAAAAAATAACTATTTTATTTTGTAGATTTTCTTTCAGTGGCGTAATACCCATTGGACTTTTTTGGAGAGATCAATCTGCTATAGAGGTATACATTTTAAACTTTTTCGATGAGGACTGTCAAAAAGAAAATAAATAATAATCTTTTATCCATATAACACTTTATTAATCATATTTCTTATTCTAGCTTATAAAGAGTTTTAAAAACACTTTAAATTTCAATTTTCTTTTAAGGCAATTCGTGTGTCTCATTTAATAATTATTTTTAAAAAATTTTAGCATTTTAAGAATAAAAGAGCTAAATAAAACGATTTTAAAATTATACAATATAAGTAATGTAAAAAATGGGGTAACTCTCGCACTATTTACAATAATTGTGACAAATATTTGACATAAAAATAACCTAGACAGCCGCTTAAAACGATAATATTTTTTTAATAATATTTTATGATACAAAAACAATTTATAAAATCTAATGGCACTTCTTACTTAATATCTTTTTATATATATTACAACATATATCTTATACACAAAAACAAATACAAGTTAACTTAATTATCAGTTCTTAGCTTACAAAATATGTCATGCTTTGTTAACAGTGATATAATGAGTACATGAGTAGTTATTGCAAATAAATTTATTGTCACGACAGAAGAAAGCATCTTATACGTTTCACGTTTAAGTATGCAATAACACATATTTTTTTGATTCTTTCCATATATTTTTATATACTTAAGAATAAACATTGCACATCCACTGCTAGAATCAAAATACAACCTCTTAAATGTCTCTCTGTTTCGAACAATTTCTGTTGTAAGATTCTAGCTAAGTATTAGCAGTATGCCCAAGCTTTCTTATAATGGCATAAATTCTATATAATTAATTCGTGTGTATACCTATTAAGGCAATTTGTCATATAACTGATAAGGCACTTTCAAAAAAACTAAATTTTAACATCAGAAATTGGCGTCCCATCCTGTTTGGTCGTCTGGAGGTGGACCGCCTTCGTCTGGAGGATACGGATCGAAGTTGGACGTGTCGATAACGCTTCGTATCTTCGGCAGGATTGGTGGAGTCAAGGTCCGGTTTATTAGTCCTTCCCAATTAAATCCATCAAACCACCTAGAAAAACATAAAAGAAAATAATTTAATAACTTCTTATAAGTAGTAAAATTATAGTAGTTCAGTCATATACTTAAATTCTAGCACTTTAATGCGGGAGGACACGGTCTAGGAGTACTTAGACCAAGTACACTTGGATGTTGCCATATGACTGTCCTTATAATAATGCTGCACGCGTCTCACTTCTATACCGCTTCTAAAAAGGTGCGTCCAGACCTGACGAGACGAGAGCGAGACATCTTCTATCCATTTTTGAGACAAGCCTGCCACGAGACAGGCGAGTTGGATCATAGTGAAAGGGACCCAAACACATATTAAATTTTAATTGAATATAACAAATGCTGGCTAAATAATACCGCATATTTTGTATCTTTTACATTGTATATGGTTCGTCGTATTTTATTTATCGTCGGTTTTTCTCTTTTGGTTGTTTTCTCCTTTAACTCTTCATTTATTTCGAGACACGACGATGTCTTTTATTATCGATATATCTAAAATCTATATATTATCGATATATCTAAAATTAATAGATTTTGTAATAATTGAAAAATTCAATTTGTTTAAAGAAATGTTAGACTTCGGAACGGTAAAAACTATCAGTGACGCAAAATTTGGAAATTATATCGGAAAAAAATGAATTATCATTTATACGGTATACCATTTAAAAAATTTGAGATTATTTAACTTTAAATAGTCGAAATTCATAAATCAGAGCTAATATCTCACCAAAAACACATCCAGACTGTGCCGCAAGCTTTCTTTGATCGTCCGTCGCAAAACCGACAGAGGACGGATAGCAACGAGGCTCCGTGGGTTGTCTCGCGAGGCTCTCGCGAAACCCGTTCACACTTAACGAATTTGGAATGTCTGGCGCTCGTCTCGCTCTCGTCTCGTCAGGTCTGGACGCACCTTAATATTGACTGTTTTATTCAAATCGAGTTGAGATGATTTTTAACATCAAAGATGGCTGGCTGGCCTTTTCAACTCTGATAAAACAGTTGATACCATTACAAAAGTGATAAGTCATGTGCAACTTCCATAAGTATATTTAGATGGCAGCATCCGGTTGACTTGGTCCAAGTACATTTGACCATGTCAGCTAGGATTTACATTTACCTATAGGGATTAATAATAATAATATCTTCAAGTCAAAAATCTGACTAAATGTAATTATGCCCTTTTTATTGCATTTTCAAAATAAATATATTTCTAGTTCTTTTTACGACCATTTGCTTCACATGAGATTTAATTACCTAATAAGGAGACCTTTAAAGTGTCTTAAGGAAAACATGTTTTGAACTATTTAGCTTTTTATGTCAAACATGAGGTTTTTGGCTTGTATTTGGTTGGCAGTGTTGATCTAGTATGACCTTAATTGGTGATTATCCCAATTATGGATTTCTTTCATTTACAGAACTAAGCTTGGAAAAATATATATCCAGTATTAGTTAAAGTCTTTCTACAGAATCAGGAGAGATTTCGAGAGCGACATCCAAAAATTGACTGAAAATGCAATTTAACTGTGAATTAAAATGACAGACAACAACTGTGCGTGTCATGCACTCTCTCAATGGACAGACTTTATATATGGGACTTTTAAGCATATTTCCCGGAGATCTACCTTTGCCTAGACCAGTGATGGCGAACCTATGACAGTGCTGACAAATCAAACGTCCAGCCTCGCCAAGAAAAGTGTCATTTTTACGCCTAATAAAACAATATACTATTATAATAAAAAACAAAAAACTATTCTCAAATTCTATATAACGGTAGTAAATAAACTATTAAATTATAGTAGATTCTGAGAATAACTCACTTATGTTTTTGTATATCACTGATTCCGCCCTTTTGGTAGCCTAACCTCTCTGCTGGGTTGTCTCGACACAGCTTTTTTATAAGTACTGTGGCGTTCTTGGTAATGTTCTTCGGAAAGTCTATTGCATCAATACCCTAGCAATAAAAAAATAGATTAATATTATAATGTTACCAAAATCCATTACATTGGAAATTTATGTGATCAACAGAATAGTGTAGTCTTGCGGTCATTTTGTATTTGTTGTACGTATATTGTATTTTTTTCCTGTGTATGTTTACAAATATCAATGAATAACTGTAATAACAATAAGATACACACATGGCCAAAATTATTGCAAATAACAATATTTTTATTTTATTTTGAGCCTAATATGATTCTTTTTATATTTTTGGACATATTGGCTTACTACATGACTAACTAATATAAAATTAAAAATCTAAGTGCAACTAGGCTGTTATTATAATTTTATTTCATAATGAGTGAAAATCAACAAAAACAAATTTCATTTTAAACAGAAAATATTGAAAACAATTTTAATTATTTCTCACAACTAATAGTCTGTATTGCCTCCTCGAGCCTCAATGCAAGCTGCGAGACGACCTGGCATGCTCTCAATTAAGTTGTTCAGAAGATGTTGAGGAATGGCTTCCCATGTTTCGTGCGCAACAATTTTCAATTTATTTAAGGTACCGGGGATGGGGGTCATTCCTCTTGGCAATATGGCGTTTTAGCATGTCCCAAGCATGCTCGATCACATTCATATCTGGAGACATCGGTGGTCACCACAGTTTTCCCCTTATACCCTCTTCCTCACAAAATTCGCGAACCGCTAAAGTGCGATGGGGAGGGGGAGGAGCATTATCGTACATGTAAACAAATTCATCCCGCAATGCCCCTCGAAATGGACGCACAATAGGCTCTAAAACGTTTCTAAGATATGAGGCACCTGTCACTGTGCCATCAATAAAAACAAGAGGAGTTTGAGCTCCGTGCATTATACGTGCCCATACCATAATGCTTCCCCCTTGAAACGGGATACGGGGTTGAGCTGCATTCAAGCGTGCTCGTCTTCCAGATGCTCTCCAGACCAAAGTTCGTCGCGAGTTTGACACGAGGCCTATTCTTGTTTGATCACTAAACATGACAAAATTCCAATTAGGTCCATTTGATCTCATCTCCTCAACTCATTGCAATTGTAGTCGCGTAATTTTGTGCTGTAAATTAAACTTCGGAACACGTAGAGGCCTCCTTAAATGTAATCCTCTGTCATGGAGTCTTCTTGCTATGGTCTTTCTTGAAACATTTACTCCTAAAAGGTTAATTAACTCATTTTTAATAGCAGTGCTAGAAAGCAGAGGATTGCGTCGTGCAATTAGGGATATCTGACGGTCTTGCACAGCAGTAGTAATTTTCTTTCTACCACTTCCAGGCCGGTCTGTAACCTCGTTTGTCTCCCTATTCCAATTTTTTTTGATATTCGCAAAACATCGATTTGGTTAACTCCTACAATTTCAGCTATTGCAACTTGCCGGTAGCCCTGTTGAGACAGTGTTACTATTCTGACTATATTAAACTGTGAAATAATGTTTCTAGGCATTTTAAAGCCAAAACAATGGCCAAATTTCTTCTGAAACCCAAGAGACCACAAATCGAAATGTGCAAGAATTTGAAATAATATTGGGTCTGAAGGATAAACATTGTTTACCATATCCATTTTAACAAAAAATGTTTATTACAGATTATCAAAGCTATGTATAAAAAAGATTCTTTAAATCCCTGTCCGTATATTTTTAAACGATATATGCAATAATTTTGGCCATGTGATAATATCAAATAGTTTATATTATGTTTCTTACCTTCAGAATGACATTATACGTTTTCATGGGGTCACTGCCATTAAAGGGTGGAGTACCAGTAAGTAACTCAAACATAAGTACCCCGAGTGACCAGTAGTCAGCGCTGATATCATGGCCTTTGTTCAGAATGACTTCTGGAGCTACGTATTCGGGGGTGCCGCAGAAAGTCCACGTTTTTCTACCGGCCTGTAATTTCTTGGCAAATCCAAAATCCACCAATTTTACATACCTAAACAAATAATAATGACAATAATTCATAAAATTTATTGAAACAGATACTGAGAATATATCTCTATTTTCAACTCAGTTCTATTTATTGTTATTTACTAAGGGCTGGTAAAGGTTAGTCTTGTGTCGAGATTTCCGTATGTAAGAAGAGTACAATGCGTTTATAATGTACTGAACAAAGAGAGAACAGTAAATACGTTGCCAAACGTATGAAATAAACCGAGAAAAGGTACACATTGCTAAAGGAGACGTGGAAGGGGATATAGCAGATTTGTCGCAGTTGACCGGTCGACCCAATCAGTACCTATGTCAGTACTTAAAGTTTTAGGAAAAGATGTACATAATGTGTTCAGTTTCAGGATTTAATTACGTCTCGTGATATTTTATTTGTTTATTTATTAACGAGTAATTGTAATTTTCTCTATAGCTTAAAAATGTTTAAGTGCAAGTTAGAAACACTTGCAATTTTGGTAAAAATAATAATAATAAAAGTGGAATTGAGTTAGTGTTCGACAGTGATTGCGCTATTAGAACTCAAAAATTAATATGAATTCAAAAATCAATATCTCTATCTATTGATTGTAATTTTTTTTTCAAAATCTTTCTTAATATTTCTACTATATTTTATTCGCAGACAGTATGTGAAAATCTTTATAAATAAAAAAGTTACATGATTGCTGAAAATTGCTAACTAAAAGTAAATGAATGGTTTATTTAAAATTTTTGAATGGAAAAGAGAAACCTTGTCGAATTTTTCTTTTTTAACCATATTGTAAAAGATCCGATCTGCCAAATAAAAAAAGTATCTAAAGTGGTTCTTAAGTTATGACGTGTTATGTGACTCTGACGTTTTCTCGTTATACAAAAATGGACACCCTAACGATATCCTTACAATTCCATTTCAGATGCTCAGAAACATATCTAAGGATTTTGTCTAGTCATCTTTTCGAAAAAAAAGTCTTAAAAATAAGCTGTTTGTGATCGTGATTTTACTTTACTTGATAGGGAAAGGCATACCGGCAACGCCGCAACAGCACACCGTCGTATTTCTCTCACTCCGACTTAACAAAAGTAATGTAAGATCCCTATGCGATTGACTTCCACACATGTAAACACCGACCCAAAAGTAACAGTTGCCAGCACGGTATATGTATTACATATTAAAAGACATAAAACATAAGATTTCAATTTGTAGTGATGTCTCATTGATTATAATTATTCTTATTTCATTCTCAGGATTACAGTAGTTGTAAAAAAATCTATAAAATTTTCAAAATAATATTCTTACCCTTGAGCGTCTAATAATAAATTTTCAGGCTTCAAATCTCTGTATATAATGTTTCTTGAGTGTAAGTAGTGGAAAGCTTCTACCACGCACGCTGTGTAAAAACGGGTGGTGGTATCGTCAAAGTGCCCTTTATCCCTTAGTACTGTCCAAAGTTCGCCTCCAAGACAACTTTCCATGAGCATATAAAGGTACTTGGCATCCTACAACAGAAAATGATGCTTTGTAAGGTAGACATATACAGGGTGAGTCTTTAATACGTGAATATGTTTTCACAGGGCTGGTAGATCTTGACAGAAGAAAGACATTTACCGTTTTTCACGTAAGTCCAGAATAACTGAGTTGTTTTTCTTAAGTTGAGAACCACAGAACTTTTTTTTTATTCTTTTCTAAGTTTGGTCCACCACTTATGTTGCCATATTATTAAGAAATTATGATTTTTAAAACCAAACCAAACCAATACAAAATTATCAGATTTTGTTTTCATGATATTCTTGTCATTATAATACATTAATTTAATTTAATTATTAATATAAAAAACTGTCATAAAGCTCTTTAATATTTTAAATTACCATAATTCTAATTTTAAAAAATGTGGTTCTTGTAGGTACAAACTTTCACTATTTTTTATCACACTAAACAGACGTTTTCTTAGCCATGTTAGCATAATATTATCAATTATTATTAATTATTAAATCATTTTTTATAATAGAATTCTATAAGAAAGTAAAATTATTTTTTATGAGCACTTCAAGATTTTCTCTTAAACAGATTTTTAAATTACAGAAAACATAAAAAACTAAAATAAACATAAATTTCTCTACAAAAATTCAATATCTTCAAAATAAAATCACCTTCAAACACTATTTTAAAAATACATATAGAAGACCTAATAGATTTCAATTTCATATAATTAATTGTCAATAGAAAAATATTATAAATTATATAAACTAAATATACTAAATATAGCTTATCAAATATTTTGTCTGGTAATGTTTGAACTAAAATATAATGTTTACCTTGAAAGTTTTAAATAGTTTAACGATAAAATCACAGTTAGCCTCGCCCATGATCTCTTTTTCCGACATGATGTGTTGTTGTTGGCGAGTTTCGACAATTTGCGACTTCTTCATCTGCTTCAGGGCGTAAGATTTGGAGTTTTGTCCAAAGATTTGGACTAGTTCGACTCTTCCAAAGCCTCCGACACCGAGAGTCGTGAGTACCTTCAAGTCTTCCAATCGTACATTGGCATATTCTTCATTAAGTCTATAAACATATTTGAATAATTTAGGTACATTATTTATATGGTTGTCTAAATATCTTACTAAAGTTATGGAAGTGTCAAAAATCAATGTTTTTTTTTTCAAAATTCAACAAAAGCAATTTTGTTATTTTTTTTATCTCTTATTGTGTTTAATATATGATGCATAGTATATATTATTTAGTTTACTTCCAGAATTTTTAACCCTTTTTAATGAATGGCGAATAAAAATAATCTTAAATACAGGGTAGCCCGAACTGTATTCCGGAAACTTTGGCAGCATATTCTATAAGTAAAAAAGTTCGTATAAATGTATGTTCTAAAATGCTTAGTTTCGGAGATACAGGGTTAGAAGTTTAATTTTGGTTTCGATTTTTTCCAAATAATTTCTGAAGTAACGTCAATATTTGGATGAAAATTGGCGTATGGGAGTTTTTTGACATAAGACATTTGGATTTTGTTGTCAATATGACTCCTATTTGCAGGGGGCGCCACCTACATGTGTTTTAACTGTTTTGAAGAGTAATAACTTTTCGTCCGTACCTGTATAAAACTACTGAGTAAAAAAATATACATTTCCGTGCAAAATATCTCTTGGTAAAAATCACTACGAGCAACCGTTCTCAAGATATTTAGAATGGAAATAGTCAATACATGTCATTATTGAGAAAACATAAACACGTTGAGTAGATAGTTATTTGACGAAAATAATAAATTTGGGAAATTTTTATTTTTTTTAAATTAATCATTTCGCACAAAAACATTTCAAATTTATGATTTCAGTCTAATAACTATTTAGTCAACATATTTAATTTATGTCAATGATGACAATGATGACAGGTATTGATAATTTATGTCAATGATGACAGGTATTGATAATTTCGATTCCAAATATCTCGAGAATCATTACTCGTAGCGATTTTTACCAAGAGACTTTTTTTACGTAAAAAACGTCGTAAATGTATATTTTTTACTCAGTAGTTTTACACAGGTACGGACGAAAATTTATGACTCTTCTAACCAGTTAAAAAGTATGTAGGTGGCGCCCTCTACAAGTAGGAGTTATATTGATATCAAAATCAAATTGCTCATGTCAAAAAACTCCTAGAATCCAATTTTCATCCAAATATTGACGTTACTTCATAAATTATTTGGAAAAATTCCAAATAAAAATGGAACTTTTACGCCCTGTATCTCCGAAACTAAGCATTTTAGGACATACATTCATACGAACTTTTTTACTTATTTTTATCTGCAGAATATGCTGCCAAAGTTTCCGGAATACAGTTCAGACCACCCTGTATATTGTTTAATTCTTAGCATAAAAATTGTCTTTTTCTTTGTTTTACTGGTAATGAACTCAAGTTTAGAGCTACGACATTGTATATTTATATAATTCTATTTATATTTTCAGCAATAAATTTTGACTACCATTTGAAAGAAAAACAAGGACGATTACTTAAAGACTACTAATTTTTTTTATTAATTTTGTTATAAATAACTATATGTTGGCAGTGGTTTCTACATTTTAAAAGCAACTGGCAAAAAACTCTAACTTATTTTGTTAATATATTGATTTAAATTAAAAAAAAGACCATTAGAAGTTAAAAATTCTTAATTTAAATTTTTATTAAATAATATAGAATCTACAAATGCCTTAAAGTTTTTCATACAAAAAAGACAAAGTAAAATAGAAAGAAAAATTTAACTTCTCAATAGATACATTATTTTACAGAAAAATCATTAAATCTTTAAAGAAAAAGAACTTTTGTAGTTGCTAACAGAATGTTTGAAGAAAAAAATCTTTTCTGTGTATTTTTTATAATTTAATGACAACGAAACATATTTAGAAGATAGTAAAAACGAATGAGAAGAAAATATAATTTCTGGCAGCAAATGCTAAAAAATAAAATATAATGAAGCAAATAATTACCTACATTTCTGCATTAAAATTAATCCGCAAAAAGACATAATTTTATGGTAATTGCACATCCATTAAGTTATTATGAAAAAGTAGTAATTTTTGTTAATTAAACATACATAATTTTAATTTTATGTCCTTTTTTTTGAAATTATTAAAATGTGAAATTTAAAATATAAAAATGGCATTTTATGGCAAATGTAAAAATAGGAAATTGACTAGGTATCTTTCCTTCAATGTTTGTTGAATATTATTAGTGGGCTATGAAAAATACTTACTATGTCTAAGATCCAGGAAAAGCATAAACATACAAAGACATTTCAAGTTATTAGATAAGAAAAATTGTAATAAAAGAACCTATAGAATTTAGGATTATAAATACAAACATGTTTGCTTTCCAATATGTCATTAAATAGTGTTATTTTCAAAGTTAACAGTAATGTTCGCTAAATGTTTGTTAGAAACATATAGTCTTAATTTTAGAATATTTTATTAGAAAAAAATGCCTAATTTTTTAGTGGAATACTAAAAAATTAGACATGTTTGAAAATAGTGATGAGCAAACGCAAGATCAAAACCAAGACACCCTTGGTCTTTAGTCTTGCAGTCTAATAAGTAGTGTGGCGTAAACTAACTATATGTCCCGCCCTCAGATGACCTTAACATCGCATTAAAGAATAGACACCGTAATGATTCATACGAACGTTCGAGAAAAATCGAGTTCCACTGGAATGGAGTAGTACATACGACAACATTCGAAACCTTCCCTATGCACCTAATGATCTATGGATTATTCGAGAAACTCTTTAGCTGTGGGTATAAAATCCGACGGCTGGGGCCTGAGGAGGACAGAAATAAATAGACGAGTACAGTTGACGCGCTAAAATTCAAAATAAATTATTTCTAGATAAATAGTTACAAATCGTTTGTAAATAGTTCTTTTATCGTTATTGTTTTTGTTAATTAGTGTTAAATAAATTGTGACTTTCTATCCACACGGAACCGACGAAAAACATAACAGTAGTGTTAATTTTGCAGGGTCCAGTTTTAGTATTTGTCTTGGTCTTGTTGTAGGACACTTACAAGATTGGCACTTTTTTTTTATAGATTTCAACTACAAGCATTTTGTACATAGAAAATCTTTAAATAAATTGTATTTTAATTATTTTCATGAGAATGAATTCATATCTCCCTAAAGCAAATGAGAATTTACACAGTTTCTTCTTCACGCCCGTAGCATTAGATGAGCTCCGTAGTACAATTAAAAGTATTAAAAATAAATTCTCATCTGGGACTGATGGGCTTACTCTCAAAATGTTCTCTGAACTTCCGGAATGCACATTAATCTATCTTACTACTTTAATTAATGAGTCATTCCAAAAGGAGTTTTCCAAACTGCCTTAAGACAGCAATAATTATTCCTCTGCATAAAGGAGGAGATAAAGATCAAGCTTCGAACTATCGCCCAATTGCTCTCCTGCCCACATTATCTAAGATCATTGAAAGATTGGTTAAAAAAAGGCTTCTATCTTTTCTCCTTAAATATAAAGTACTTTCTACCCATCAATTTGGATTTCTAAGTAACAGTTGCACAAATGATGCTATGTTCGACCTTTTTAATAATGTATACTCTAGCCTGAATAACCATCACTCTACAGCTACAATTTTCTGTGATTTCTCTAAGGCTTTCGACTGTGTAAATCATAATATCTTAATTAACAAATTGCAAAACTATGGATTCAGGGAGTGCCGCTCGAATGGCTTAAGTCGTATCTTGGCAACAGAAGGCAGCTTGTGAGGATTGATACGTCTATGTCTTCTTGTAAGCCTATAGAATGTGGTGTCCCTCAGGGTTCAGTACTTGGCCCTATTTTATTTCTGGTGTTTATCAACGACATTGCAAATCTAGACATTAGCGGTAAAATCTGCCTCTTTGTGGACGATACTAGTTTCACTTGGAGCGGCCCAGATGTTACGGCACTATATGATACTATATCCAGTGACTTACGCATCATTAAATCTTGGTGCGATTCTAATCTCCTATGCCTCAACCTTCCAAAAACTAAAGTTTTGTCATATAAAAGTACTATACAACCTTTTGTACTTAATAACACCACTATTGACGTCGTGGACTCTGTGAGATTCTTAGGACTTGTTGTGGACAACTCTTTAAAATGGGACTTGCACATCGAAGCCTTATCAAAGAAACTAAGCTCTGCCTGTTTTGCGCTAAGATCAGTGTCTAAGGAACTTAACTCATCAACCTCTAGAATGGTCTATTATGCCCTTTTTGAGTCGCATCTTCGTTATGCCCTTCCATTCTGGGGTACTTGCTGCGCGACAAAATTTGATCGTATTTTCAAACTTCAAAAGAGAGCAGTTCGATACTTATTGGGACTAAACAGTAGAACTCACTGCCAGAATTTCTTTAAAAATTTCAAAATACTGACTCTTCCTTCCTTATTCATTTTTGAATCCGTTTGCTTAATCCGCAAGCACATATTCTCTATTCCGGAAAGGCCTTCTCACAACTATCCACTTAGGAATGCGGAGCACGATATTTATCTGCCAACCCCGAGCTCAGAACTAGTTAAGGGCTCAATACTGTACAATGCCAAGAAAATGTACAATCATTTGCCTTCGAATATCAAGTCACTTTCATTCTTTCCCGCATTTCGCAAAGCTCTGAAATCATACTTACTGGAAAGAGCCCTATATGCGATAAACGACTTTTTTGTTGATGTCTAATCATGAACAATTTAGAATTTTAATATTTTGATCATCTCACACACTCGTTAAAGGTCTAGTATTTAATTTTTTATAACTCTTGATTTTATGTTATTATAACATCATTTTATCCATTTACAGTTTTCCTTTTGTAAAATTTTCTAGATACGCCTGTGTTCTGCAATGTCCATATATGTTTTATTTGTAATTTTATGACGTAATTTTTTTTTTTCAATTGATTTGTATTGTATGACATTTTTTGTATTATTTGTATATTTGTTTTTGTGCTTTTTTTGTTTTGCTTTGTCGATGAAGCTGTTTTGGCTTTTTGTACAATAAAGCGTTGTTTTATTTTTATTTTAATGCAAATTAAATTTTAGTGAAATATACTATAATATCTCGAAAACTATATCTGTCTGATAAATTTTCTTATTTTTTAATTTTCAAGACCAAAACCAGTCTCATCGCTTATCACTATTTGGAAACCAGTATCAGATAAAAATTACTATATTTTTATATTGCATTAGAAAAAAAACTGTAATTTTAGAATTTCTATTATCTATAGTATAAAAGTAATTTGTATAAACTCACCTTCGTCTATCATCAATATCATCAACGTATTTGGTCCTGACTTCATCAAGATTCGATATCAGCTGAATATACGTATCTCTGTCAATAACCAAGCAGGTGACGCCCTCTGGATCATCCACAATTATATTGGCAGTTCTTAGATCATCCCTGTAAATTTAAATTAATTCATTAATCTTTAGAATATTGAAAATAGTATAAAAACCCTTCATACCCGTGTAATGCTTTCTCTCCAAAGAAGTCACCTTTATACAACGTCCTGATGAACTTTTCGTCGGGCGAGTCCTTCTTCCTGATGGTCACTTTAACTTGGCCTTTGCTGATAATGAAGAAAGTGTCACCCCTGGCCCCTTGCCGGATGATGTAGTCGCCATGGGCGTAGTAGCATTCCTCCAGAACGTCTGATATTTTTATCAGAGTCTCTTCTGGGAGATCTTTGAATATTGGCACACTAAAAACACAAAATAACATTTAGTTTAAACAATTTTTATTTTGGGTTTAATTATTTGAAAAACGGTCAAGAAAAAATATGTTTATTTTATCGAGATCTACCAGCCATGAAAATATTTGCACTTATTTCAGACTCTATAATAGACAGTATCATCATCATCATCATTTTCAGCTTATTCAACCATTTTCAATTATGGTGTAGCCTTCCTCACATACTCTCCTTGTAGTTGTGCCCATTGTTGTCTATTTTTAGCTATGCGGGTCCAAATTATCCCTGCTATATTCCTAATATCATGGTTCCATCTCTGATTTGGTCCTCCTCTAGGTCGTTTAATTCCTCGTGGGTACCACCATGCTGTAATGTTTGTGGTTCATTTGTTGTCCGTCCTTCTTGCCAGGTGTCTTGCCCATTGCCATTTGAGGGACCTGACTCTGTGGATGACATGTATTACCTGGGTCTTTTGTCGTATCCACTCTATTCTTTTACGGTCTCTCTTGGTTATTCCCAGTATATTTCGTTCCATTGAGCATTGTACGACCTGCAGTGTCGTTTTAAGTGTTCTGGTTTCGCATACATAGGTCATTAAGGTCATGACTATAGTACAAATTGGTCGAATGTTTTCTTCTTTAGATAAAGTGGCATTCTAGATTTGAGTATGATTGAGTTTCTTCCGTAAGTACTCTATGCTAACTTAATTCTTCCATTGATTTCTGGTAGTAGAGATCCCAAGCTGTGTTATTAGTTTTCTCAAATAATAATTCTTCTACTATTTCCAGTGTTATGTTATTTATTAGAATATCCTTTCTGTCTACTAGTACATTACTTTAGTTTTCATTTCGAGACCCACTTTATGGCTGGTTGTATTTAGTTCGTTAATTTGTGCTTGTAGTTCTCCAGGACTATTGGCAATTAGAACTATGTTTTCAGCGAATCAGCAATGGTTAAGATATTCTCCATTTATTTTTGAAATTCAGCGATGGTTAAGATATTCTCCATTTATTTTTAATAATTTTTTGGTTCAGTCCAGTTGACGAGAAATTTCATCTAGTGTTGCTGTAAACAGCTTTTTGTTGTTTTATATCAATACCTTGTTTCGCTAGGGATTGACAGGCCTTGAACAAATTCCATTATTACTTTAGGATATACTTCTTCTTATCACGCCCTCTCCTGCCGAAGATTGGCGATCCAAATGGCAATTGTGGCTCTGGAAACTGCAGCCCGGAAGATTTCCACAGACGAGCGTTCAAACCATCTCCTCAAATCTTTTAGCCATGAGTTCTGGCGTCTTCCTACTGATCTTTTCCCTTGCACTTTGTCCTCTATTATGAGGCGCAGTATTTCGTATCTACCACCTCTCATCACATGACCCAGGTATTGCATTTTTCTTTCCTTGATGGTGTTCAGTATCTCTTTTTGTTTCTGCATGCGCTGGAGTACTTCATTGTTGGTGATCCTTTGTACCCCATGAGATTCGCAGCATCCGTCTGTATATATACATTTCGAAGGCTTCTATTCTCTTCTCGGTCTGTGAATCCAGTGTCCAGCTCTCACATCCATAGAGTAACACAGAGAAGACGTAGCATCTGGCCATTCGAGTTCTGAGATCCGCACTGAGGTCTCTTCTTGTAAAAAATGATTTCATTCTCGCGAAGATTTTTCTCGCTTGCTCAATTCTTGAAAATATTTCTCTTTTCGGGTCGCACTGACTATTGATGTTAGCTCCTAAATACTTAGAATATACAGGGTGCTACAGGATATACAGGTAGACTTAGGATATACAGGGTGCTACAAATTCGAGGTACGAGCATTGGTATCTCGGAAACCGTAAGAGATACGAAGAGGGTTAAATTGGGGCAAAGTTGCGCTTTAGGATGTTCACCAAAATGCCATCAAAAAAGTTTTAAAAATTTTAAGAATTGCTGAGTTTTTTGGAAAAAACGGATTTTTTTGAAAATCAATTTTATTTTTTACTGTCGTTACTTCTTAGAAAATCAAAAAAACTAATTAAACATTCTTATAGTCACTTTATTTGGGCTATCTGAGGGTATTTTTAGATTTTCAAATTAGCTGATAATTTGTGAGATACAGAGGTCAACTTAATTTTTTTAAATACGGACCTGCATTTTTTATTTTAGGTTTTGAAAGAACTCGGTCTCCTGAGTATAATGATATGCCACACTTAATACTTTTTTTTGTTTTGGACATTTGAACACAATTTATTTAAACTAATTTCAAGTCCGGCTCTGTTTTTTTTTAATATTTAATCTATTCATCGTTATCATATTGTTAAGCTTTCAAACTTAACAATGACTTAGGGTAAAACATTGAATACGGAAAATCAAATGCAATAAAATAATAAAAAATAATATAAAATAAATAATATAAATATGTATAATATAAACATTCAAATAATTTCCACGGAAGATGGATTGAAACTGGTAGAGCAGTATAATGGCCAGCGAGGTTCCTGGACCTGTCGCATTACTTGACGTCATTTGGAAAAGTGAAATCAATACATTTCAACATTAAGAGTAGAAAACAATTAACGAGCAATTAAAAAAATTAAAGAGTACAAAATGCATTCGGAAGTATAAGGAAAGTATATTCGGAAGATTTAACGAAAAATAAATTTGTGCATTATGGAGGGTGGTAACCTCTATGGTGGTAACCCTTTTTATTAGAAACTAGTTGTAGAACTTGATTTATTTATCATAACTACGATTCATATTATGCATATTATTAGATCGTACACTGAGATTTCAAATTCACAATAAAAAAAAGTTAAAAATAATATCTTTAAATTGCTGACCTGGATATTAATTATTTGAATCTTTCAATTTGATTTTCCATATTCAATGTTAATTAGCGCTGATCAATATTGTTGTGATGAATATAATCGGATTAAATAAATTGAAAAACCAGAGTCGGACTTGAAATTATTTTAAATAATAATTAAATAGTTTTGTTATTGTTAAGGTACCTAAAACAAAAAAAAAATATCAAGTGTGGCATATCATTGTACTCAGAAGACCGAGTTCTTTCAAAATCTCAAATAAAAAATGCAGGTCCGTATTTAAAAAAATTAAGTTTTCTCACAAACTATTAGCTAATTTGAAAATCTAAAAAAACCATAAGATAGCTCCAATAAAGTGGCTATGAGAATGTGCGATTAGTTTTTTGATTTTTTAAAAAGTAACAACAGAAAAAAATAAAATTGATTTTTCCAAACCAAACCAAACCAAAAACTCAGCAATCCTTGAAATTTTAAAAACTTTGTAGCACCTTGTATAAAGTCAAAAGAGTTCTCAAAGTCTATAAAGGTTATGTCTAGTGGAAATATTTGCATTTATTTAAGACTCACCCTGTATAATGGGTATAAAATCAAAAGAAATATTAATAACAAAAAAAAAAAAGAAATTTTACCCATGATTAGATATTTCATAAAAATACTCAACGAACCTCTTGAGGAAATCCGTATATTCCGCCTGCCTGATGAGGCCAGTCCTCATCATGATCGTTTGGAAGCATTGTCTCTCGATGGCCCAAAGCTTGCAGTCGGTGGCGGCTTTGATCGTGGCGGTTCGTTGACAGTTGTACAGTATGGCCAATTCGCCCAGCACCTTGCCCGGGGTCAACGTGCTCAGGAATTTGTCTTCTCTGGACACCTCGACACATCCCTCTGTAACAAAGGAAACATATACGGTCAATTTAGCTGGTCAATGTTGGACAAATATTGATATTAAAAGGTAAATAACTATAGGTCGTTTCAGAAATATGTAGGTTGATAATTTGAAAAGTAGGAATGTCACTTAGAAAAATACTTTCAGAAAAATCTGAAATATACAGGGTGGTCCGAACTGTATTCCGGAAACTTCGGCAGCATATTCTGCAGATAAAAATAGGTAAAAAAGTTCGTATAAATGTATCTTAAAATGCTTAGTTTTGGAGATACAGGGTGTAGAAGTTTCATTTTTATTTCGATTTTTTCTAAATAATTTCCGAAGTAACGTCAATACTATAAATCTACAAACAAAAGTTACCGTATGATTTCGTGATGCAAAGTTATATAATAGATGTAGAGTCCCATTTTTGTGTGCTGACAGTGACGGTATAGTGGCAACAGGAAGAATACGTTTACAACAGTAACGAGATAACCACGCGACCATGACTAAATGCTTTCTTACCTTCGTGTATCCGATATGTTTATTGGTCTATATCTCAGAGAAACAAGTAAGCACAGAGGTGTACCAAAATATAAGATTTCCCTTTAAATTCTTGCTATGCATGTTATAAATTTGTCTTTGACAGTTGATGTTAGTGTGAAATAAAGGAAAATTGAATATGTAGTGCAGTGCATCTATGTATTTTGGTCCTGTTATTTTTAGATTGCATTCTTCACATTGTATTATTTTTAAAGATTCTGACAGTCTTTCATAGAGCTCTTTGCCAGTGGCTGATCACCTAGTAACTGCCACAACCTTTGCCAAGCTATCGCACTGCTGTTTCTTCAGCTTTAAAAGTCTATTGAGCTTGCAATGCTCTGTGACCCACTAGGCTTGACAGATTTGACAGTTTTTTAGGATTAGTTAAGACGTCTTAATTAATATCACACAAAAAATTTTTCATTCAGCGGATCGGTAAATACTTTTTTTTGTACTGCTGTAGCTTAAAACAATCATTAAATAACAGAAAATTCCAGTATAAACATCAGTTTTTTAAACAAATTTTGGTAATTGTAATTGACCATGACCATAAGAGATTTGAACAAAAATGTGATATAGTTTTATATTAACAGTTGCTTTAGAACTCCTCTATCTTTACTTATTTCTCTGAGTTATGGACAAAGCCGTCGAAATGGAGGTCCGTAGGAAGAACAATGATCTTCCATTAACGGTGCATTTAGAGACCAAATACAGACGAAAGTGCATGCCACCGAACGCTGACATCGAGTTGCTTTATATTCATTTGATTGCTTTGTGTTTGTCTTGTGCGGAGTTGCTTTATAGTTTTCCTCGATTTTATAGATAATTTTATTTTATTTTATTACACAGCTGTGGTTGAACGGAATAAGCCATAAAATATATAATTGGAAATGACTAGAATTGTACAGAGAAACGGATTTTCATTTTTTTCAACATCTGTACAATAAACGCAATTTTGGACGTGGTAGATAAACTCTGTTTATCGAAACAGTTACCTGTGCATTAATAAGGGAAAATATAAATAACAGACACATGCATAAAAATAAATAACAAATAACAACTGTCACTGTCAAGTATTTTCTCAGCCTATGGGGATAAAACAGTAATTTGATATTAACTTTAAATTACAAATATCAGTAATTATAAAATACTTGAAGGTAATTTAAGAAGTGTATTTCGAAAATATTTGGTTGAGTCTTAAGTAAATTCAAATATTTTCAGGGCTGGTAGATCTCGATAAAAGAAACATATTTTTTCTTTACCGTTTTTCAAGCCCAAAATTGCCGAGTTCTTTTAATTTGAAATAAAAAAACTGATTTTGTGCTTAAATTTTAAGAATCACTAGATTTTTTCCGGGTTTTTGTTCAATTGTTTGTTAATATACCACCTATGTTGCCATATTATCAAGAAATTATGTTTTAGCTTAAGTTTTAATAAGTACAAATATTTTTAGGGGTAGTAAAAATTGAAAATTAGGTGTTTCTGGAACTCATTTTTAGTTAAAAAACATAATTTTTTGATAATTTGGCATCATAGTTAGTAGATTAAATTTACAAAAAAGAAAACCCATAAAAGATTCAGTGGTTCTGAAAATACAAATTCTGAAAAGAGAAAATATGTCTCTTTTATCGCGGTCTACCAGCCCTGAAAACATTTACACTTACTCACCCTGTATTATTATAATTTGTCAACGTTAAATACTTTTAAGTAATTTCCCTTTAGTGGGTATCAATTATTAATGTTTGTCAGAAATAATCTGGCTGTAAATATACATGACGAACTTGACGAACACACAACAAAAGTCAATGAACGAGTATATTTATTCAGTTAACGTAGATATTTTTAATAGGAATTTTGATATATTTAATGCATTTTCTTATTAAGAAACCATAATGTAATATAAATTACATTTTTGATCATGAATTTTTACTAGAAAAATAACTTTGAAAAGCAAAAATAAATATGTTTTTTTGAGCGTTGATACAGTTATTCTAAAAAAACTGCAAAATAATACTGAAAAGATAAATAAAGGTCGCAAATATCTTTAGCAAAATTTAAATTTTTTTGCAAATTTGCACTCTTTTGTAGATTTATTTTTTTTTCTGTAAATTTACACGGTTTCTGTAAATTTTTAATTCAAACTTTATAATATGTAATTTTACGATTTTTCAGCAAAATTACAATTTTTTTGTCAATTTCTTACTTACTGGCAACACTATTAATGACTCATGATCATTTCTAATTACAAAAATAGAAACTAGTTATGAAGATGTAGATATAATTAGAATCGTAGAATTAGGTCCTTCAGACAAGTTTGTTAGTTTTGAGGTAGACGTATATATGTTACGGTTAAAGTCCGATGTACGGTTAATGCCGACATTAACAGGCTAATGTTTGGATTTGGTTTTGTTTTTGATTATTTTGTTTTGTGTTATTCTCGAGATTAACCGGGTAATGTTGATATTAACCGAATATCGGACCTTAACCGTTACATATACACTAACATCCCTTTTTAAACCCAACCTAAACAAACGGGAACCAACTGAAAGCGGAACTGAAGAATCTGGAAGACTCCATCTGTAACTTGGAATGGGTGTTCTCCAACGGTATAAGACACTCGAAAAAGTAACTTACAATCGTCAAAGGTTTTCCTTGATTTAAGTAAAAACAATCTTTGGATTGTCACGGGGTTTCTAACAGGACACTGTCTCCTCAACGAACACCTCAGTAGGCTGAAGCTGAGAAACAACGGCGAATGCAGATTCTGTGGGGAAAATGGGGAAACACCAAAACACCTTATCACCGAGTGCGCCGAGACGACGACCATTCGTGCCATGAACTTTGGTACGGCTGATATCGAGGATGGAGAGTTGGCCTCTGTGGAGCCGTCTCAGATACTGGCTTTTGTTAAAGCCCTGAGACTGTCTGATTGTGTGTTCCAAAGGGGAACTCCCCTCCTAAACATTCTACCTTCTTCTTCTACAACATCCCTTTGAAGGAATCGTTGGAGATCATCGAAGCTAGATTGAGGAAATACATAACATTTTCAGAAACAACCTCGCTGTCTCTTAAGGGAGTGATGGAGCTCTTGAGGTTACATTAACCCTTACAAGTAAAAGATATGTTTTATGCCTAAGATTATGGTCAACCCATGACCCATGACTTCCTCGTTCTCTCCAGTAACACGGAATATAATGAAATTATTTGAGTCAAACCAAAAATTTGGCTTCGATATGTTGACGATACTTTGATAATTTAGAATGCAACGGATAGACAGTTGGATTCTGTTTCTCAGTTCCATCAGATTTACGATTGAGAAAAAGCAAAATTTCTGTCTGCCGTATCTGGATGTTTTTCTAAGTAGAAAAGTGTACATAATCCATCGCAGTGTTGCCACTAAGGTATCAATTGACAAAAAAGTATAAATAAGAATACATAGTTTGTTAGTATCAAAATTAGCAAGTTTTTCTACTCTACTACTACTTCTTCTTCTTACAGTGCCATACTCTATACAGAGCGTCGGCTTCCTCTCGTATGTACTTGTGATGTGTGTCATCAGTGTTTCACAAGTACACGAGACCTACAGTTTATCGCCGAATCCGAACGGCACTATTTGAGAGGCTGTACAAGGCAAATGTACTCAAGGTGGTTTGCCATTGCCGTCCTTGAGGTAACGGCTCGCTGGTCGTTCTATTTAGAAAAATCAATATTTTTATTTAAATAAATAAAGCGACCGTACTGGCTGAGGATCGAACCCAGTACTATCGCATCTTTCTAACCACAGTTCGACATACTAACTGCTTGCGCTACGGCCGGCCCCTCTACTACTAACTGTTATGAAAAAATACATAATAAGAACTAAGAAACCTCATATTATGTAACAAATTACTTCTGCCAGCTTCATTTTCGTCAAGAATAAAATATAGATCATCTAAACCAAAATAGGAAGAACATATTATATTTAATGAAATCCTTTATACCTTCTTACAACATTTCACTTATTACCAACTCGGTAATTACCTCGGCATGAACCAACGCTTATGCATAACCTTACGTAACACCATGCCAACTAATGGCTGTGTAATTTGAAAACGAAAGTTTTCTAGCCGATGCCCTGTTGGTGCGTACACACGGCGCACATACATTTCGTCTGGCGATCTTCACGATCGACCTATGCTCACCTTTGCACTTCCTTTTGCCAAATGCGACTATCGGACCTTTAATGCGGGAAATCGCATTTGTAAGAAAGCGCAGCGCAGAGCGAGGTAAACATATAAATCGGTTTTGAGAAATTGAGAGGCGGGATTCGTGAGAGCATATTTAAAATGTAGAAAAAATGCCGTCAAAGGAATATTTACTTGTGCAGGAAGTGATAGAAAGTTTTGCAAAATATGGTAAAAGGTTATGTTTGGTGGTATTTACAAGGACTGGACATGTTAGACACGATGAAGTAAAAAAAACTTGAATGTATATTTGA